AAAAAAGCTTTCTTCTGATTCTTTGTTAATTCTTCCCTGTAAAATCCCCAACGATCTTACGAATTCAAAACATGGCGAATGAGATATGGATCGTTCCATTGTATGGGCAGGGACATCTCTTCCCGCTAATGGAGCTCTGCAAGCAAATAGCCTCCCGAGACTTCAAATCTGTTTTCGTTATTTCTTCCAACTTCTCCTCCTCCGTCCCCTCTTCCCTCCGCCAGCACCCGCTTGTCCAAATCGCCGAAATCCCTGAATCAATCCCATCGTCTGATCCTTCAACGCCGCCTCAGCCAACTACTCAGCCGCTCCACCGCCACCACGATGAGGACAACCAGATGGCTGACGGTCTTGAGAAACTCCTTACGACCCGATGCCAGAGTTCGGATTCTGCGCTGCCCGTATGTGCCGTGCTTGACGTCATGATGGGCTGGACAGCCAACGTGTTTAAGAAATTTGAAATTCCAACCGTAGCTTTCTTCACCTCTGGTGCTTGCTCTGCCGCAATGGAGTATGCCATGTGGAAGGCTCAGCCCTTGGATATCAAATCCGACGAGACTCGTTTGCTCCCCGGGTTACCCAAGGAAATGGCTCTCACTCTATCTGATGTTGAACGACAGTCTCGCGGACCACCGCCACACGGTTATGGTGGCGGCCCACCAACAGGGCCAGCTGCAGGTTTTCCTCCGCCACCGAGCCAAGGTGTAGGTGGCTTTCCTCCATTTGGCCCAAATGCAGGTATGCCTCTGCCGGGCCAAGATGCAGTTGGTTTTCCTCCATTTGGACCGGGGCACGGTGTGCCTCCACCTGACCCGCCTCTTAATGGACCTGGCCCGGGAAGAAGGGGCCATCCGCAACCAGGAGGTAAACCACCATGGACGGAAGATGCTGACCGATCTATTGCGTTGATGATCAATACGTGTGATGATCTGGAGCGTCCATTCCTTAAGTACATTGCGGAGCAAATTGGAAAACCGGTCTGGGGAGTTGGCCCGCTACTGGAAATCGGCCGGTTCAATTCTCCACGACCGCGAGTTCCGAACCAGCACCCGATGGTCAAACATCACCGAAGACGAGGTGGTCGAGTGGCTAGACTTGAAGCCGTCCGGATCAGTACTCTACGTGTCATTTGGTAGCACGGTAGAACCTACAGGGGAGGAGTACAAAGTACTGGCAGAGGCATTGGAATCATCCACCCAGCCCTTCATATGGGTGGTCCAATCCGGTTCGGGCAAACCGCCAGGTCCCCCGCGGGCCGGTTCGGAAGGCGAAGAACTATCCACACGAAATGGAGGCTCGAATGGGGATAAGAGGTTTGATAATACACGGATGGGCCCCACAGCTGCTGATCCTGGGCCATCCGTCAACGGGTGGATTTTTATCACACTGTGGATGGAATTCAACGGTGGAGGCAATCGGGTGTGGGTTCCCGATCCTGGCATGGCCAATCAGAGGGGACCAATACCACGATGCCAATTTGGTGGTGAGCTTTCTGAAAGTAGGTTATCAGATCCCCATTCCTGACGAGAAAATATTAATTAAGAAGGAAGATATAGCGAAGGGAATCGAGATGCTGATGAGTGACGAGGACATGAAACGACGAGCTTTGGAGCTGAGTGAGAAATTTGAGCACAGATTTCCAACAAGTTCGGTTGCTGCTTTGGATACTTTTAGAGATTTTGTTGCCCAAAAGCCAAAAGCAACTTCTTCGTGATCAGCTTTTTCTTGTTTGATTTTTCACTTTTATTCAATGTATCAATCTATAATGAATGTGTGTAATTTTACTGTCACGCTTCTTACTACAACTTGGAATGTTATGTGTCTGTTTACATCATATATGATCGATCCTGAAATCTCAGAGTATTTATTACATGTTGAAGCATTCCATTGAAGGAGGTGGATACACCGATCCCATTTCCTACTTCACTCAACACCACATGCCCAGTGAACTACCCTCAACATGCATGCGACAACCATTTATAAGATCCTCATGTAAAAATGGATTTGTATAAAATATAACAAAAATGGTAATACCACATTTTTCATAGCACGTTGTACCATCTTTCTAATAGAGATGAGATCTATATGTGTTAGTGTGCTCTACGTCTGTTAGAGATAGTATATATAAAGAAATATCTTGAGATATCTTCACATCTAAGAAGAAGAAACGTCTTATAAAAAAAAATATAAAGAAAGAAGAAAGTTGAACTAGTTGTGCCATAATTCATTTCATGGTGTTTTTATCGTTGGATTCATTTCGGTACCCAATACTGAACCAATCCCGAAATTTCGGTATGGGAATCGGTCTTAAGTTTTCGGGATTTCAATAATCCCGAATCGAACTGAAAAACATATATATTATTTAATTTTTAAATATATATTTAGAATTTTAATAGCTGTCGGATTCTGTTGAGATTTAATCTCAACCGTTGAATATAAATCAAACCTAGGATTTCTATTGATTCCTTCAGATTCTTGGAACTTTGTTCCATTGAGAAGCGATGAATGCATGCCAAATTGCCAATTTATGCTGAACATGAAAACATTAGATAATGCAGGAGTATGTTGAGCAGACTTTCCTCTTCTCTATTTCTAAACTTTTTCCACTTAACATCATTTTAGTAGCTTGAGCACAATTGATTGGGTTGAACCAATGAATTTAACACTTTAATGATATCGTATAATGAAATTGAAAGGGCCTTCTTCCCCTTAATTATCAAAATTGAATGTTCTTAATGATGCTTGAAACATAGATTAACAAGGTTGTTGTGTTTCTAATGTGCAGCGCAGATTTGCAATATATATATATATATATATATATATATATATATGATTTTCCACTGCACAGCCAAGATATGCATTGCAGATTTGCAATATATACATGATTGTCCACTGCACAGCCCCAGCCAAATTTTGATCACTGCACAGGTTGATCCTAAACTTCGGATTTTCCAGTCAAATTCACGGATCGTGCAAAAAAATAATCATATCACTCGGTCATCAATATTACGTTACAGATGGCGTTGTAATATAATATTGGCAATCTAATAACGGACCAAATTCCAATTTCCTAAATCTTCACTTACTACCATGAAACTGATGAAAGGCAGGTCCTGAGATTTAGAGATCGTGTACCATTAATTTTTTTAAGTGAAACCTTTTCATGATCTAAGATGACCATGATAAAGACAACATTTACCTTAAAATGGTCGATCAGTGTCTACCAAATGATCCACAATGGCGCCCCCTCCTCTGTCTTCGATGATCATCAATTTTCTTTTTCAAATATCCAACCACTTAACATTTAACGTACCTGATTGTGTTCCCAGCACACCAGTCAATTCATTCATTACATGTATCATGTATGTAGCCTTGTGGTGTACTGAAACTTAATCTTCAGTCACTACGAGAAATCTATAATGCCAATCAATCCAGTTCTTAAATAAGTCATGTTAGTGAATGTATAATGCTAATTAATCCAGTTCTTAAATAATCTTATGTTTGGTTCAAGATGGGATTGATATTAAGATCCGTTCTCAAAGTCACCTAGTGTCCAGGGATTCATGGTCACCAACCATTGGATTTAACATCAGAAGTTGAGATTAAAACATTAAAATCACATCCATTTATTTTTCACCATGACATCACGTTACAATGATAAGAGACTATACATTCTTTAGACAACTAATGACCAAAAGAACATTCTGTCAATCAAACCCCTACTACCCAAACTCAGAAAAGCTTGTTCAGAATGAGTTTGTGCTGGAGGCTAACTTAGGGTTTCAAACAAATGCATCAAAACAAATTTAGAAACTCTGCTTGAGGCTGTAGAACACAAGACAAAATCAGCAGTCTGGCTAATGACGGCATAACTTCCTTGTTAAAACTTTGAATGATATACATAACACTCCATAAAGTTTTATCTTCAAATACAATCTTCAATCGCCAATGCTCCCATACAAGTGTACCTTATCTTACGAGTACGACTTAAAATGCTTTCAAACTCGATATAATACAATAATACATCAAAAACGTGTACAAGACAAGAGAACATCCATCTCAATTAGGCAACAAAAGCAGTAATCCTAATTAACATGACTTAGCTATAATAGTTTTACCATACAGTCAGAAGACTAGGAACCTTTCCATCTAACGGTCAACTGCCCTTTACAATACGTGTTCATGAAGAAAATTTACATTCATTGGTCATCGTTGTCGCCGACCTAATCTCAGTGGTCGGTTGACTCGGTTTCGCTCCTTTAAAAACTTAATTAGTAAGATAATGACACCGTCACCAACAAGTATGACTCTTGATTTCCAGGTGTCAAAGTTTCAGAGCATTACATCACCTTGTCGACCAAAACTTGCATGCTGTACAGGTTTCATTCTTAACTGTTTAAACAAACCTAACAGTCAAACCCTACTCCCTACGATGCACGGATACGGCAGTTCTGTCACGTATTGCATATCAAATACAAGAATAGATACAGTACATTGTAATACGGTCTGTTACGTATTGAATATGTAACTAGATTGAAAATACGGCATTTAAAAGATAAATACAAGTATTTGACAATTTAAATACAGGAATCCGATAGTTTGCGGATATCCTGGTCATGGCCTTTGACTCGATCTGGTCGAAGAAGGCTGATAGGTACAAGGCAACTAGAGCTCCAGTCTAGTTTTTTAGCAAGTCATCACTGGTAAATTTGAGATCTTAAATTTGATTCTTATTAAAAATGAATTTGAACATATTATTATGGTTAGTTCTGAGACTTATCCCATTAAAAAAAAATTTATTGAATACGTTCTTATGAGATAAAATGATGTAACTATACCATACTTTGTTTTTAATTTTAAAAAATTTAATGTATTCTGGTGTCGTATCTCGTGTCGGTATCGTTGACCGAAAAAAAAAATGCTTTCTTCTGATTCTTTGTTAATTCTTCCCTATAAAATCCCCAACGATCTCACGAATTCAAAACACAAATATTGAAAAGATGGCGAATGAGATATGGATTGTTCCATTTTTTGGGCAGGGACATCTATTCCCTCTAATGGAGCTCTGCAAGCAAATAGCCTCCCGAGACTTCAAATCCGTTTTCGTTATTTCTTCCAACTTCTCCTCCTCCGTCCCCTCTTCCCTCCGCCAACACCCGCTTGTCCAAATCGCCGAAATCCCTGAATCAATCCCATCGTCTGATCCTTCAACGCCGCCTCAGCCAACTCCTCCGCCGCTCCACCGCCACCACGATCAACACAACCAGATGGCTCTCGGTCTTGAGAAACTCCTCTCGACCCGATGCCAGGGTTCGGATTCTGCGCCCCCCGTATGTGCCGTGCTTGACGTCATGATGGGCTGGACTGCCGAAGTTTTTAAGAAATTTGAAATTCCAACCGTAGCTTTCTTCACCTCTGGTGCTTGCTCTGCCGCCATGGAGTATGCCATGTGGAAGGCTCAGCCCTTGGATATCAAATCCGACGAGACCCGTTTGCTCCCCGGGTTACCCGAGGAAATGGCTCTCACTCTATCTGATGTTAAACGACAGTCTCGCGGACCACCGCCACACGGTCATGGTGGCGGCCCACCAACAGGGCCAGGTGCAGGTTTTCCTCCGCCACCCGGTCATGGTGGCGGCTCACTAACAGGGTCAGCTGCCGGTTTTCCTCCGCCACCCAGCCAAGGTGTAGGTGGCTTTCCTCCATTTGGCCCAAATGCAGGTATGCCTCTGCCGGGCCAAGATGCAGTTGGTTTTCCTCCATTTGGACCGGGGCACGGTATGCCTCCACCCGACGCGCCTCTTAATGGACCTGGGCCGGGGAGAAGGGGCCCACCGCAACCAGGAGGTAAACCACCGTGGACAGAAGATGCTGACCGATCTATTGCGGTGATGATCAATACGTGTGATGATCTGGAGCGTCCATTCCTTAAGTACATTGCGGAGCAAATTGGAAAACCGGTCTGGGGAGTTGGCCCGCTTTTGCCCGAACAATACTGGAAATCGGCCGGTTCAATTCTCCACGACCGCGAGTTCCGAACCAGCACCCGACGGTCAAACATCACCGAAGACGAGGTGGTCGAGTGGCTAGACTCGAAGCCGCCCGGATCAGTACTTTACGTGTCATTCGGCAGCGAGGTGGGACCTACAGTGGAGGAGTACAAAGTATTGGCTGAGGCATTGGAATCATCCACCCAGCCCTTCATATGGGTGGTGCAATCCGGTTCGGGCAGACCGCCGGGTCCTCCGCGGGCCGGTTCGGAAGGTGAAGAGGGATACTATCCACACGAAATGGAGGCTCGAGTCGGGAAAAGAGGTTTGATAATACACGGATGGGCCCCACAGCTGTTGATCCTGAGCCATCCATCAACGGGTGGATTTTTATCACACTGTGGATGGAATTCAACGGTGGAGGCAATTGGACGTGGGGTCCCGATCCTAGCGTGGCCAATCAGAGGGGACCAACACCACGATGCCAAATTGGTGGCGAGCTTTCTGAAAGTAGGGTATCGCATCCCTATTCCTGACGAGAAAATATTAATTAAGAAGGAAGATATAGTGAAGGGAATCGAGATGCTGGTAAGTGACGAGGACATAAAACGACGAGCTTTGGAGCTGCGTGAGAAATTTGGGCATGGATTTCCAACGAGTTCAGTTGCTGCTTTGGATGCTTTTAGAGATTTTGTTGCCCAAAAGCCAAAAGCAGCTTCTTGGTGATCAGCTTGTTCTTGTTTGATTGTTTGTTTGATTTCTCACTTTTCTTCGATGTATCACTTATCAGTGTATAATGAATGTGTGTAATTTTACTACACACGTCACACTTCTTACTACAATTTGGAATGTTATGTGTTTGTTTATATCATATACGATCAACCTTGAAATCACTGAGTATTTATTACATGTTGAAGCATTCCATTGAAGGAAGCGGATACACCGATCCCATTTCCTACTGCACTCAACACTACATGCCCAGTAAACTACCCTCGACACGCATGCGACAACCATCTATAAGATCCTCATGTAAAAATGGATTTGTATAAAATATAACAAAAATGGTAATACCACATTTTTCACAACACGCTGTATCATCTTTCTAATAAAGATGAGTTCTGCATGTATTGATGGGCCTTATCTCTGTTAAAGATAGTACATATAAAAAAATATCTTGAAATATCTTTACATACAAGAAGAATAAATGTCTTATAAAAAACATATAAAGAAAGAAGAAAGTTTAAACTAGTTGTGCCTTAATTCATTTCATGGTCTTTTTATTGTTGGAACATATTTTACTTAGCACCAAACAGTCTACGATTAAGCAATACATACGCCAAACTGTCCACGACTCAAATTTTTATGAATTACTTGAATTCTTTTTATTCAACGTCATCTTTCCAAAGTTCTTATTTTAACAAGGCCCAAATATGAAAGATAAGGGTAGTGGTGGTGGCTAGACATCACAAACTGGTCGTGATTGTCATGTTTATGTTATTTTCATGTTATACCGTTATTTTGACGGACAACCTGATAAAGACTTCACCAGTTAACGGGTTGATCTTAAAATTCGAATTTACCAGTCAAATTCACGGGTCGTGCAAAAAAAAAAAAATCATAATTTCACTCGGTCGGCAATATTGCGTTACAGATGGCGCTGTAACACAATATTGGCAATCTAATAACGGACCAAATTCCAATTTCCTAAATCTTCACTTACTACCATGAAACTGATGAAAGGCAGGTCCTGAGATTTAGAGATCATGTACCATTAATTTTTTAAAGTGAAACCTTTTCATGATCTAAGATGACCATGCTGAAGACAACATTTACCTTAAAATGGTCGATCAGTGTCTACCAAATGATCAACAATGGTGCCCCCTCCTGTCTTTGATGATCACCAATTTTCTTTTTCAAATATCCAACCACTTAACATTTAATGTACCTGACCGTGTTCCCGACACACTAAAAAATCTCCCCAAACTAGTGCGCATGGTTGGAGTAAAATAAAAGAGCATGGATGGGAAATGCCAAATGTTAGGCCAGACTTAAGGTTTTCTAGCAAAAACCAAACTCTTTCCACGGCGGTCCGGGGAATGAGTAAAATTAGCCGAACAAGCAGATCATCTCTGGTTAGGCTGCCCCAATTGTGTTATCTTATTGAATTTTTGGCATTAATGTACCTCAAATTCATTCACCAGGATCCTATCGTCTGTTAAAACTTGCAACAAAACCAGTCAAGAAGTCGCATCTCTTCGATGCATAACACCATAAGTAGCTATGTCAACGGCTATGTCACGCCATACGTGTTGGAACACGAAAAAAAGGGCTCTATGCGGTCCCCATTTTGTATAACGTCTCACAAAGGCGTACTAAGATGGGTACCCGCCACAAAACCAGGTTTTACCAATACCAATCACTCAAACACCACCCAAAACTCACGACAAAATACGTGAGTGTCCTGAAAGGCTCGAAACAGAAAAAAACGCTTACCTTGTTCTGTACTTATTATAAAACTCTTGTCACAATTTTATGCAAAAAAAATTGCACTTGAATCAGATGACCATTCCTGAAGTGAGATATGGCAATGAAATCAGGAGGCATTATATGCGTATCTGATGAACAAATGATTTTGTATGGAAGAACTGAGCGGTTAATTTGTCTCTGTCGGTCATGATGGATCCGGTTCCAGCTTTGGTACAATGGCGGATTTGAGATCTATGTGAGAAACACGAACGGCACCAATTAGCCTCTCTGGCAATTCATCTGTACTGTTTGCCTGCAGGTAACCAGTTCATAGTCAGCATACAACATAATATTTTGCTAACGTGAGCTTGCAAGCATTAAATCGAGCAATGAAATAGCGAGAAGCTAGTATCTTAGTGATAAACTAAGTATCGCAGCGAGATCAATTCCATTGGAATCGTTTAAAATGAGGCTGTAAGGACATTGCCTGTGCGAATACTCATAAACAAGAAAAACTAGGCGAAACTGGCCTTTCTACCTTTTAAGTGCCCATTGCCAGAAACGAGACCTTATCAAAGGCAACACAGGATACCCAACACGTGACAATAAACGTGGATCATTATGTTATGGGTAACAAATACAAACAGAAACTGGTAAAAATTTTACTGTAATCTTCAGAGTCTTGCATATTATATCATTTTCGAGACATGTTCCGACAAATTAACATCTATTTTATGATTCAATTTGATCAAAGTCTGACATAGGTAGGTTGAGCTAGGGGTAAATGACATTTATTGTATCTGTAGTTTCGCTAGATATCCACTTCAGTCCATGTACTCTCAAGTTTAGCAATTGAAAGAATGCAGTTTTGTTTGCTTGAACTTGTAATCAACTTCAATCCGTTAAATCAATCAAATGGGAGGATGAATATACGAACTTACAAACGTGCAAAGAGAAAATACACATTTTGGGTAGTCTGGAAACCATGTGCACACATACTACGCATGTTATCTTTCCATCCAGACATTTAATAGATTTGTCAGAACGGTTTTGACAGATTTTAACAGATTATATTCCTTAGTTTCCAGAAATTAAAACTACAGGAACTATAAACGTTAGTTGGGGCTCCTGGTAAATGCGAGTTTCTGAGTTATAGAATAGCATATATGCAATTTTGATTCTCAGAAAATGCAATAAGTACTATCTGAAGTTTTGAAACTTATAAAAGCTAGCAACATTCTCAAAAGTTAACAGCGAGCTAAAAGAAACCAGCAAACAAATCGTTGCAAGAGATACCAAACCCAACTGAAAAAAAAAAATGAAAAAGAAAAAGAAAAAGTAATTTATATTTAAGCGATAGAATAAATCTAAAACCCCCAGAATTAATTGCATGCATACTGTCAGGCCATACACATTCACAGTTAAAGGATATATCTGAGCTTGATGGGGAAACCTAATAAGAAACCATATCTGAACCAGATCTACCAACCCAAGTTATATTTGACGCTGGAAATTTATTTAATAATATTAATTGCCTAAACTATTATTATTTCAATCTGAACTACATAAACTAGGGGCTAGGCCTCATTTATTATTCAATCGATCACTCATTCACTAGTTCAAATGTATTGCTGAACATGCCTTTGATGAACAGTACAGTATTCCATGGTCTATGATCACATATTTTACGAGAAGCATACCTGTACAAGGAAAGCCATGTCAACCACCAATGAGGTAATTACGCCAATTACCAGCCCCAAAACCCCATTAGCGACAGTAGATGAACCAATATCCACATCAATCTGCAGAATAATAAACCAAATTACGTATTTATACTGAAAGAACGTTGCCAACCACAAGACCCAATAAGTTAATAAAAATGCAAAAAATATCTGGCAAGAATACATTACTTCTAAGTACTTAGGACCACGGATATAGTTGCAATCAACAGCTTTTCCCAACAAACAAGGAGTGCTTCCAACACTCTGGCGGACAATCCATGAACCCTGCATGGTTCCATAAATAATGTTAATAATATACATCCATAAAAGAACCTCTTTATATGGTACAAAAAGAATATAAGAGGAGAAGAACAAAATAAAAATAAAAAAAAGAAGGAAGAAGTGTGGTGAGAAACACAAAAAATCAACTCTGTTACAAGAATGAAGGGAAAAGAAATTTCATCAGTAACCCCACAGCTAACATTTTATTAGCAGAAAGTGTATGCTAATATGATACTATCAATTGACATATTGGCCATCTTATTCTTAATACAAATGAAGGATGAAAATTGTTGTGAATGTCGCGTTTAAGAATGGGAAAAGCAGAACAAACTCGAGAAATCGAAAACAAAATAACCAAGATAAATACACCAAGAATTAACGTGGTTCGGCTACATGTGCCTATGTCCACGGGATAGCAACAACAATCTTTCACTATACCAATAATGAGTACAACCAATAATCTTGCCAAGTCTCTAAAATTAAGAACTTGACGATAAACTTGAAAGAACAAGAACAAGAAATACACTCTTTTATCTCTTTTCTTTTCTCCCACACACAGTTTGCCCTTACAATATTCTCTCACTCTAATCCCTTGAGTGGTATACAAAATATTGTTTTGTTCCCATTCGAAACTAGTACAATAGCCCCCTTTATATAGAAGGTCTTCTTCAATTAGGTAAACAACTTCAATTGGGAAAAAACCTCTAATTGGAAAACCAACTCAAATTGTTTGGGAAAACAACTAAATCCTCTAAGTCTATAATTTCTAATAGACTTAGGACAACTCATCATGGGTTGGAAAAACCCAACAAAAATGACAAGGTCGGGTGAAATCATTCAAACCATAGCGTAAGTGATTCGTGACTCGTGACTCGTGACTCGTGACCACCTAATCCCTTCCTAACCGTCTCCCAACTAGACATTCCCACCTGCAACCCTTTTGACACCCTTCAAGAGTAAGTTGGCATTACTAATGATCTTCAACCTACATTAGTTCCCTGATAAGTCTTTTGTGAAGCCCAAGGACTAGCCTAATCATTACCATATTGCTCAGCTATTGAACTAATTTGATTCACAAAGAACATACTCTCTCAAGCTCAAGAACTAGCCTAGTCATCACAGGTCGTTCTAAAATGGAAACTCACTGGTCCTTGTTTCATTGTTGCAACAGGATTCAGGGATAGTACTCAGGCAGCTGTTTGTTTCTGTTTCCTTAGCTGCAAGTGGTAGTGTACAAGCACTATTCTTATATGTGTTCTTGTGTTTTGCTGTCTTTTCAGCTCTAAGATGAGGTTTAGCCTAAGTATACGATTCCCCATACTGTGGCTGTTGTCTACTTTGTTTTGCTCCCCTTTATTCATTGTACAGAAATCCTTGTTAAGATTTTGTTTGTTCTTTTGTTGTTTCCCCTTGGTGCTGTGTTGGCCTTCTTTTCTACCCGGAGAGTATGTGTCCCTTGTATTTTTGTTCGGTCGTGAACCAGGAATGATACGGTACAGATATGTCATCCAAATTATATCCGATTTCTATGCCCCAAAAATTCCAAAATATCACAGCATTATGAACAGATATACTTGTTTTTGCAACTTTATCCTTCAAGAAATTATTTATATGTATAAATTCTGCTTTATTTATATGCATAAATAGTACACAAGCACATTTTTAAGTAAAGGAATCTCCTAAAAGTTGATCAATACTATGATTCATATAAAACTCATGAGCCAAAATTCAAAAAGGTGGTCAGACAACAACAGTCCTGAAATTTGATATGAGCATTCATTTTTTTCATATATAAAGAAACTGATATTAATACCTTTTTAACAGAAGGAATAAGCTTCAGTCTACTTGTACGAAATTCATCATCACCATCAACAAACCGTTGCAAGAGGGATCCAGGTACTAATTCCTTTGTTACAAAATAAAATACCATACTGTAATGTGTTGATGCCGGGACCTGGAAAAGTATAGATTTTTGTCACTCCCTAGATTCCCAAAAATCATTTCTAGATCTGAACCAGATGGAATAAAGCAACTTACTTGCAAATTAACAATTAGAGAGAAAAGCCCTTTTTCTGAGGCAACCTACAGAAAAACTCAGATGTTATTAACAACAAAATAATAGGTAAGGAATATCATCCAAGTCCAGACAATGCCCCAATATAGGTAAATCAAGTGGCAATACAAGACAAAAACAACCCAACAGTATTATATGACACTCTGAAATTTCAATATTTTAACACCAAAATGGAATATCTGCTAATGCCCTATAATGATTACTGATTAGAGTGTAGTTCAATTGTTGAATCAACCCAAGAAGGAATGGAGCTTCTATTACATACTTGTGCTGCACATCCCTGACGCCGAGCAACATGGTCCATTCTTTTTGTGTCTTTAAACCAATCAACAGCAACAAGATCCATTAAATGCTTCCCTGCAGGAATCTTCAGAGAGACATGGCCAACAATGTTATCAGAGAAAGCCTAAAAGTCATTATCAATATATGATGATCCACAAAAATAAGAAACCATATAGGAATGGGCCAATATAAGAGAACCTTTGACTTATCATAACAAAAATGCTTGCTGCGAACTCTGAAGTTGCAACCATCAGAAACATTCCAGCAATCACGAGCATTATCATGGTCATCACGCCGTAGGTTACCCGAAAAACAGGATAAATCAATTTGATCAGCTGGTTCTTCTTCTACGGCTATCATGACAAACATAGTGATAAGGTGTTAAACCCAAATACTCAAACAAGGATCATAGTTTAGAATGAAACAGAAAAGTAATTGTATACCTGTCCTCTTCATATCGTTCTCAAGACCATTTTGGTATGCCTGAAAGTATTAATAAAGAAAATAATAACTCCAATAAATAACTCATATTTAAAAAGAATATGCGGAAAGAAAAAGAGCACTCGTCTGAATCACACCTCTTGTTCAGCCTCAGCAATTTGAAATTCTTCATCTTCGTCCGAGTATTCATCCATCATCACAGAATTTCTGTTTGCGGAATTAACAGAAAAATCATGCAACTTTTGCCCCTTACGTGAAGAAACAGAAGCCGAGGACATATTGACCATAACCGGGATTCTTGGAGGAGCATTCCTTTCATCTGTTTGGGAAAACCACTCACGTAGTCCTATCATCAAAGCAAAGACTCAATTATACAAGAGATAGCTTCCTGTTGATTTTTTCACGTCAGAAGGAACAAGGTTTAAGAAAAATAGAATCCCAACTTTAAATTCCATTACAAGAAAAATATTCTTCGACAATCTTTTATGAATTGTTTTTCGGCTTCCAAGCAGCTTAACTTAAGCAATAAAATTTCTGTTCTTCGATGAAAGAGGAATGGGAATATAGACAAAGGGTATCTAATTGAACAGGAAAAATGGAAATCAATGAGGAAAGTGATACCAAACTGCAATGCTCAAAACTTTGTATTTATCACTAAGTATTGGAATAACACACAGGACAAGAAATTATAACAAGTATACAAGGAACTTACCAGCGACACTATTCAACACCTGAAGAAGACAATGCTGTTGAAAGGATGGGACATAACTCACACCCCATCCTTTCAAATCAATCTGCATCAAATGCTGCACCTGAGTTCTAGGCCTCCCATTTCGAGGTTTAAGAGGGGAAATGTTGAAACCTCCACCTGGAAAAATCAGTACGCATCAGTTTTCTGAACTGAAAAATTAAAACATAAGGGCAAAGATCCCAACTAGTTCTCATCCTTTGCACGATAAGGCCTCTAAATAATGTACAGAACTCACTCTCAATATGTGCCCGCACATATCCGGGCTGTGGACCACAGTTCTCATGCTCCCTAGAACGAAATAACACAACTGCACCATGAAAAGCACCAATTGAAAATTTCCATACACCAATTAACCAGAATTTTAAGCATGGGGAAAAGCATAAAAAATACCATAGCTCCCGTCATCATTTCGACGCCAATAGCGCACATAGCAAAGGTCACGCGGCCACACAACCCTGCAACCAAAAGGAGTCTTGAGCAACAAAACTATAACTGCACACTGCTAACAAGGACATTAGTCAAGCACCTTTCATTCTTAATTACAACGTTCTTCAAAGTTGGTCTGAAGAGATAAGGGGAATCATAATAAAACATGAAACACAAGTCATTATTCACAAAATTTAACCTCCCGTTTGGTATAGGATTTTTTTAAAAAAAATCCAATTTTAGATACCGTATATTCCATTTTTAAGTCATACTTGGTGTAAATTAAAACCACTCGTTTGGTATAGGATTTTAAAACCGCTTTCCATTGGAAAAACAAATTCTGTTTTGGTAGAATAGTTTCTAAAAATAAGAATCTCAAAAACAACCCTTTTTAGGAAATGCACAAAATAACATCATTTTTCAATGTTTTCAAAATACCCGTACAAAAAAAAAATGTTTTCAAAATACAGAAGCACTCATCAATAGAAAAGTTACTCTACATTATGAAAACAATTTTCAGAACTAAAACCAAACATATTTTCATATTTAACATAAATAAAAATCTGTATACAAACAGACTACTCAAATTGTAAGTCTTTGAAAATCAAGTTCAAACCATGAACCAAACAGGCCCCCAAGTTTCCAAATACCCACCTAGTCTCTAAGAAACCATCTACTCATAGACTACTAAATATTATCTCCTACTACATTTTACTTAACAACAGAATATGAAGCTGCTGCCAGGAACGTGGTGATTGAAGAAACAGGAAATTTAAGTTAGAGATTACATTGGGAACCAATCTAGCTGAAGCTTATGGTAAAGTACTGCTGTATGTCCATCAACCTCCTCAACTAAGCTACCATACTGGAAACTGCAATCCCACCTGCAATCATAAAAATATGACAGCTGATACTACAAACATGTTGGCATTGCCATTTGCCACAAAGGAAAATAAGAAAAAAATAGATCAAAGATATTAGGCAGTTGAGAATATATAATCTCACGATTGGTAATCGTAAAGCTTTGTGTGCTTTCTCACTAAATTGCCAACTGGTTTTAGGTTGGATGCATGGTATCAAGGGAGTGTGCTCTTGAAACACAAAAGCAGCCATCTGAAACCATCTTTTACCCACCCAAAAAAGAAAACATCCTAAATCACAGGGTTAAAATCCACATTTCTCTACAACATAATTGCACTATTTTTTCCCCCATCAGAAGCTCAAATAAAGCAAATTGACCATTTTGAAGGTATGATACAATTTATAATCCCATGCCTCGACCAAGGAGAACCCAAAGATGGATCACAAGTTCAATTCCCTTCCATCCTTCATTTTATATGATTAACCTCTTGCAATATGTAACTCTATCCAATACACCAACAATGTATTCTCTCTTTCAATCTGATACCATTAGTTCAGGCCAGACAAGTTTAGATTAAAAAACCAAAGCAGGATTAACATAAAAAGTAGAGTGCAGTTTCATTCTTTTATCTGCATAATAAACTACATAAAATAAGCTATTATAGCAACTCATAAAAATAAAAAGTAAAATTGTAAAAGGAAAACACCTACTCAAACCGTGTTCTGTCCATGCTCATCACAAGCTCAAAAATTTCTTCACAGGTAGCCTCCACCACTCCAACAGCCTTCATGGCTCTACTACAGCTCCTTGGCTGCATATACAGAATTATAAATTGCAGTTGCAACCTAAAACAAGCTGATAGATGGTAAAATATCATAACGTACATAGTGTAAACAAAGACAGAATTCCATACAAGGTAATCTACTTCAAGAAGCTCTTCAAAAATGCGGAGTCCTGTGCCAAAACAAGAATAAGAATAAATCATTATGCACCATGAAAACCATTACCAAATAGGGTAGATGATTATTTTCCAAAATTCCATTTCTAGCATAACAAACAAAGCTCTACGACATGACAGTGGCTCACCATTTTGGCACTGGAGAAGACGCCAATGCTTTTTGGAAAATGCTTGGTTGTTGTTACTCTGGTTTGTCAGATCTGAATCTCTCGTCCAGTCTAATATTGTCTCTGGAGGACCTGCAGTCATCAAAACCGTGAACTTCAGGAAAAGATACCACCAATCAATCCAAAACTCAATGACAGAAAGATATCAGTTTAGACCATTTCCAATTGTTGTTCTCCTCATCAAATTAGGATGAGCATCATCTTCATCTTCCTGGGCGCTAAATCTACAAAGTATTAAGAAAAAACAGATTAAGATAATATAGTTGCATCCACAGCTGGAGACCAATATGACAAGCACATCAAATTCCCAAGAATAGGTCCAACTATCAATTTTTCTTTCTTCTTTACTTCCTTTTTCCTTTTCCTTTTTTCTTGTGACAACAAAGGGACATGTACTTCTAAGAAAATGGCTTCGCAAATTTCCAAGGTTAAGGGAGTCTTTTTGACACGTAGTAAAGGAGTGAATATGAAAACCATGATGAGAATGGTTGAGATGAAAAATTGGCAACACAAGTTCAGAGTTTCATAACCATCTCTATTAGTTTTTTTTATTTCACTTTTTATGTTAGAGATAGAAGGGAAATACCAAAGGGAAATTAGGGATGAGGACTAGCGGATCAAGGATGGTGGTAGAGATGTAGAAACAAACAGTATAAGCAACCAAAAACTATATTGAGTTGTTTTCACGTTCAAGATTTTGTTTTCATGGATGCTTTTTATTTTCTTCCTCCCCCTCTCTCTCTCTCCTATCACCTTTCTTCATCCCTCTCTCCCATTACCTCATATCTCCACAGAAAGTGAACCAAAAACGAAATGATTATCAAACGGGTCCTTAGTTGTTCCAGTTGTTCCAAACATTTAGAATAGCAATAATTTAAATCATTCCATTCTAGAGTAATTACGGAATTGAATGTGATTGCATTTCCATTCCACCATTCCAGTTAAACAAAAGAGGTCTTATTATTCACAGAGGCTGGAATGAATTGGGTAGTACCATAAAGGTGCTACTCATTGCTTAGTAAAAGTAATGTTGGATATGGTAAAGGAAACAGGGCCAAAGTATTGTGAGGATGCTGTCGGCTCAGATTAAACCATAACACTGGGTAACAGGAGGTTTTGGTCTTCACTTTGGGGTTCTATAACGTCAGAGTTCAGAGACATTTCTCTTATTTTTACTCCGGAAGGCAGCTATAAAATTGTCTCTTTATCAAAAACATATTTATATAATATTGTTTGGGAGCTATAGCTTTTGGTCAGTTTCCTTATAGCAATTGATCTTTGGTGGACATCTTGTTCACTTTTTGTACTCTTTTTCTCTTGATAAAATTCTCTTTTTCAAAAATAAATAATTAAAGGGACATGCCAATGCTCATGAAGCACAAAGAAAGGAGAAATGACAAAAAATCCAATGGCCATCAGCATAAAATGTCTGGTCGTATTCCATAAGTTATATTACTTACTGACTTTCATGGTCGGATGAAGAAGCAGTCCTCCCATTATCCATTCCAGATTTGTATTCGAAAGATATATATTTGTTACCATTTGTAACTTGTGAACCTTGATGCTGCACACAGATCAATATGCAATTATTCCTGTATCCATTAGCCCATGAGAAATCGGGAGGAAACTTATTGTCTCACTAGCATGAGGTCCAAAAGTAACTACCTGATCAATGACATACTCTATTTTATCCTTCCATACTAGTGCCTCCTGGATGTTAAATGCTGCCATCTGGAACAGGACAATACCCAAATGAATAAGTATTCGCGACAAAATTTAAGCAGTATGACTTTCAGAACTCAGGATTCAAAACAATTAACAGAAGAAATGTACACACATGCGTATAGGTGAATGTCAGGAGTTCAGAGCAAAACGGTTATGTATAAATACGAGAACACCACAACAACCAACTACAAAATGCTACACTTAAAAATAAAATAGAATAATAATAAATTAAAATAAAAACCCAAGTCCATAACCGGAATAAACCACAGAAGGTGTTTTACTACTTTTGGCAATTCCCATTAAAATAAAAGTCTCCTACTCTCAGACGTATGCAACAACTTTTTCTTATTGGGCCCATTTATACAGCTCCTGATAACATAACAAATTAGAGAGGAGAAAACTTCGCACTATGATCAAGGACAGGAGAAAATAGGTTTTATCTCTAGGGAAGAGGACAAAAAAGATATATCTCTCCTCTTCATTGGATGCTTAAAGAGAAACGGATAGGTGTAAACCCTCCTCTTTAAGATATATAATTAAAATGACAAAGTAATTTCATGGTCACACCCCCAAACCCTGTCAAAGAACTTTTGTTTACCTGAAAGCACTTTGAAATAGGCCCTATTATATCAGACTCCACCCAAGCCCTTAATAAAGTCCAAAATCAGACAGGTCAATGCTCCATAAAGGATATGGATAACTTTTTAATAACGAGAGCTATCTCATGCACAGATAGTTTACAGCTTAAGAATGATAGAAACTGTCATTTTGCAGAAACATAGACATAAAATGCTCCTCGTAACACAAGGGTACATGAGTACCATCTATTAGGCCTTATAATAAACAAGTCACTTCCAAATGATCCTGACCCTAAGATAATCAAATGTTATTGACAACACCAACTAAATTCTATGTACCATCATACCATGTGAAATCAACAATAAATAGGAATGAGTACAAAGAAAATGAAGTTTACAGATGTACAAAATTTAAACTCATTAAACTTTTTTAACCATGCATATATATGAACATAGATGACTAAAACAACATCAAAGGTTTTATCTTCAAGCACTTTCAAAATATGAAAGCGAAAGGGCCCTCACCGTGATTCGAAGGTATTTCTCTTTCTTGTTGTAAACAGACAAAACATATACCATCTGCACCAAAATAATCTCTTTCAGAAAAAGAAAAAAAAATATTAAAAAAATCCATCATTGGGATGAATATCAAAAGCACTGTAGAACTATCATAATTAGGATGGAATGTAAATCAAAAAGTAGATGCAACAGAAACACGGGTCCAAGTACAGCAAAAGCCAATATTAAGTTACAGGCTTACAGCTAACTGATTTTTTCAATATCCTAAGGAAACTTGTATCCACTAATTTTCCAAAACAGATTTAAATACAACATTCAACCATCAAAGAATCAGAAAGTTATTTAAAAAACAAAAAAAAAAAAAAAAAAAAGTCTTTTCTATTTTTTCTGGAAACATTCTAGGTGGCACATAAGCATGTTCACCCAGCTGCCCCTAAATATACGCATAACCTTTAAAAATATTTCTTGAAGTTCTAATTCTTCAAAGGAGTATGAACATAAATAGCACTCTGAGAACACGGTATAATCAATTACAGCACTCCTTTAGACAAGATCATCCAACAATCACCTAAAAACACATGATCACATGATCTGAGAATTAAATATTAGCTGTATAAAAATGTTAAGAACACTAGGATTTAGGCAACGCTTCCACCTTACAAATTAAACAAGTCATCATTAAAGAACCAAACTGAGCTTGAAGATCCAAAAAATACATGAACAAGGAATCCCCCAAAATCTGCAGAAACCAACAACCAAAATGCACACCATCTTCCGCCCCAACCCCTTTGTAATCATCAAAGGTACTCATATTAAACTCCATCCAAATGACCCAAAATATTGCAAACACCAAAGACCCCCTTGGAAAGCATTGAACTGAATACTTAACAGCTCAAAGCACCACTTTGGATAACCCAGCACATAATGAATAATTTAAACAGCTTCAACCACAAATGTAAGGAGTGACAACAGTGAAACATATACATGATCCACATTTTCCTCACCAAATTAATAAATCACCTTTTCGGATTCAATGTCTTTTAACCAGACCTCTTGACCCCTTAGGCGATTTCTACTGACACCAACATATCTACTTTAACCTGATCATGCAACAATGCTACATGTTTGCAAATCACATGTATAAGCCCACGGTTTCTCGTCAATTAGTGTTCAAAAACTTCCATCAACCAAACACCCTGCCCCATCCGAGAAATAAATGATGAAAACAAACAATGCTTAGAACTTCTAACTAAAAGACATATTCTGTATTAAACTAACCGACATCAAGTATCAAGCATTTAACTATTCACATATATGTATATACATTTTCAAATATACATGATGTTCTTCCCATAAACAGATATATATGCGTTTCCGTAAGTAAGAAATGCACAGATTCAAAACAAACAAATTGATTATCTCACATGCCCATGGTGAGTCTTCAATCCTCGATCCTCCACTCTACAATTTCCATCAATTAACAGCGTCTTGATCGGAACCTAATCAAAACACGCAACAAAAACACCATTGACAGTCTTACAAAACAATAAAAAGTTACAACTGAGCTGAAAATTCATTCACCTAAAGATTCACTGAATCAAAAAGTGAAAAAAGTAAATGAGAATTTGCCTGATTATCCTGAGGCTTCCGCTTGTAGTAGGCGAGTAGCCGAGACTCGAGCACGAAATACCGCATGTGAATAAAGGACCGGCCGATCTTCCTCCGCCCGTATCGTACCATCCACCCTTCGTAGACAACCTTGGACGACATCGTTTCAATCCAAACGCTGCCGGAGTCCGAAATCTAAATTTTGAAACCGAAATTCTCACCGACTCGGAAGCTCCGATCGCAACCTTCGCTTCCAGCGAGACCACTCTTTCACTATGTAATCTGATCACTCATCGTTCGAACCAGATTACCGAAAAATCCAGCAAATCTCGACCTAGTGCTCCGAATTCCACATTGAGATCAAAGTAAGGTGGAATTTCGAATTCCTTGAGATCTAGAGGAGAGAGAAATAGGAGAGAGGGAGAGGAGAGAGAAACAGTTAACAGGTGGCGGTGTTATTCAGAAGTGGGTGAAATGGCCGAGAGCCGACGATCCAAAACGACGACGTATAACTTGGGGAGGTCAGCGAGGGGTATGATCCCACGACAGTGAATTTGAGAGTGCGCTTCTGACGGCCGAAAGTGGGAGATCCCACGTAAGTAAAAAAGGCGTGTCCTCGCGAAAGCTTGCCACGTGGAAAAACGTGATGGGAATTTGGAGGTTGTGTGTGTCTTGGCGCCGTGTAAATTCCGTGGCAAAATTTTTGAAAGGGGATTGTGTAGTCTCTGGTTGCCATATGCGAGCATCGCGGACCGTTCGAGGAAAATCACCTCATAATTTTTTGTTTTTTAGTTAAGGGAAGGGTGTACATCACCCAAAACAAATATTATTATAAATAATTCGAGCCTCAGAGACGACAATTATATTATCAAACAAATGAGTTAAGATTCATTTAGATGAATTTTCAAAATAGTAAATACTCAAAATTCTTATCCAATTGGTAAGGTTGTCATTTAGATAGTCGGATGATATGTTGGTACTGCAACTATGAGTCGTTTTAATATAAATTGATTGTTCTTATTTCATGACTATTTCTCTTATAAATGTTGTAGAATTCGTTCCATTTTAGTCTTGTGTAATGCGATATACAAGATTATTTCAATCACTTTGACAAATAGATAAAAGAAGGTGTTGCCTTTGCATCATATCTGAATATCAAAGTGCCTTCATATCGTACAGAACTGAATAATTCTAGACAATGCCACAATTGAGTTTGAGACAATTCATTGTTTGAAGTAGAGAAGGAAAATGGTGCTAAAATATGTAGGAGATTTTATTGTATTCCTCTATTAGGAGGAATATACAAAATACAAGGGTGATATACAAGCTAAGTAATTAATTATATCAAGCTTCTTCTCCATACTATAGAATCTCCCTTTACATACCATAAAAAGTGGAGAACAAAACACTAAGGCTACCTTAACACTCATTTTCACGTTCATGCATAGAAATCACCAACGACCAACTTGCTAACTAAAGCTAATTGAGATAGCTTTAATGAAAAGATCTGCTAGTTGACGTCCCAAATGTCGATTCCACAACCAAAATTAATGTTTGTCATCCAGTTTGGCATTTAGAATTTGATAATTGCTTTAATCTGAAACATTTGTATCATCTACAATCAAGATGTACAGAACCCTCAACTCTTTTACCACGGCCACTTATCTTTTGAATTTTAAGGCCTTGAAAATAACAATATATGAGGTAAAAGTGAGTGGAACAATATAAGGTATCAAGTAGTTTTCCTACCAACGGAACTTTGAACTTAATATCAAGGGCAACTAAAGCATGGACCAGTGATAAGGTCGGAGTAGGAGAGATAGTGCCTTCACCTTTATCAGGTGACGGTCTCCATTTGCACTAGTAATATACAGATCATGAACATAATCACATAATTCATAAAACACTCTAGGATCACCAGTTATATGATCATTGGCTGCTGTATCAATTATCCACTTCTTTGTTACAATAAGATGTATAACAACAATATGATTATATTGAGCCATTTAGTCAAAACACGAACAATAAAAGCACAAAAACAAGCAATGAAATTGAAACAATTCAAAACAAATACTATTCACGACACTGTAGTAAATCAAAGACCTAAGAATGATTAAATACTATTAATAAATCATAAATCCAATTTTAAGACAATGAGTTTCGTACTTCATTCCCGTCTTAATACTTTGACAAAAAAATTTATCATAATCACATGCATTAGAGTATTCTACCTGCATTTTACTTGAAGGTAGAGATCCTTCTTGTTTATTCATTTGTCTTTATGAGTACGTAGTTTAATCTCAATAATACCATGGACATTCCCAAATATGGGGATGCCTTTAATTAGCATCTAAGATTAATCTCAATAAAACCAAAAATCTCTTTTGTTATCGAGAATAAACAATTGAGTTTAAACCTGAATCGAGGCACACCCTTTCGAATTCGGAAGCCTGTTGTCTAAAGGTCGCCTATAAACACCATTTCAAGTTCTTTTTTACATCCTGCGAGAATCTAAGGTTATCCTCGACTTTTTAAACCTCTAACTTCAACTTCACGCTCTTCAAATGGTGTTTACGAGATCGATTCCTACCTCTGAAAAGTTTTTGAACTCCCACTTCGTCATAGAGGGCTTGGCAACTTACGTGGGAAGATAATGAAGAGGATTATTATACAAAATAGTTTCTGAGATTTGCATGATCAATAGAAATGGTCACTGAGATTGAAAATCAATAAAAATGATCATTGAGATTGTCCACCATCCATAATTTTGGTTCTTTCGTTAAAAATTCTTTGTAATTTTCAAAGCTTCATAATTCAATCGATTCTTAACCAAATTCGACCCATAATATATCAAAATGAAGATAAGAAAGTTTAGAACAATATTATACCTATTTGGAAGCCCAATGATTGCTGGAGATGGCCGGAAAATAGCCTGAAAGGTGACTGGTCGGCGGGAAAACTGGAAAACTCGCCGGAAACTGGGTAAACTTTAAACATTCATAACTTATTCAATACTCAACGAAATCGAGTGATTCAAAAATGAAAATCATACTTATCGATGAGACAAAGAGAATGGTATCTTTCTTTACTGCCAACTCACCGTGGTTTGGCTGGAAAACTGCTCGAAAAATGGTTAGCCAATTTCGAGCCGTTGTTCGACCAAACCACGGTGAGTTAGCCTTCGAAAAAGGTATCATTCTCTTTGTCTCGTCAAGAATTATTATTTTTGTTTTTGAATCACTCGATTTGGTTGAGTATTGAAAAAGTTATGAACGTTTAAAATTTATCCAATTTTCGGCAAGTTTTCCAGTTTTCTCACGGATCAGTCACCTTTCAGGATATTTTTCAGCCATCTCCGGCAACCATTGGGCTTCCAAATAAGTATAATCTTATTCTTCATTTTCCTATCTTCATTTTGATATATTATGGGTCGAATTTGGTTAAGAAACGATTGAGTTACAAAGCTTTGAAAATTGCCCAAAATCGCTTTTAACGGAATGACCAAAATCATGGATGGTGGACAATCTCAATGACCATTTCTATTAATTTTCAATCTTAATGACCATTTCTATTGATCATGCAAATCTCAGAGATCATTTTGTATAATAACCCTAATGAAGATATATTTGTTGATCTAGCCTCCTGAGAATCTAATGCGCCACAAACTTAACCAAAGAGTTTGACATCAAGGACCTTGGTCCTCTGCAATATTTTTTAGGGATACAAATGATCAAGTTTGCAACAAGACTGTTCTTATCTGAAGAGAAGTATATTAAGGATCTTCAAAGCTACTGCATCCTATGGTATTCAACAACTACTTAGCTTCTTCAACAACTACTCAATTTCTTACAAATTCAGCTGCCTAATCTTCAAATTTTGTTTTGTGACAATCTATCAACTATAACAATTTCCCATTTAATCTTGTACAACATTAGAAGACTAAACGCATTGAGATTGATTTGCACTTTGTCAGAGAAGGAGTTGCTAACAAAAATCTCCTAGTTCAGTTTGTGTCTTCTAATGAACAGTTTGCATACATTCTTACAAAAGGCCTTGGTGCTCATCTTTTCAATTCATACTGTCATAATCTCATGCTTAGGTATTCCAACCATGACTTTGATAGGAATGTTAGAGTATACAAATGTATGCACTGGATTATGATAGGTGTCAATTAATTAGAAAATGAGTTACAGTTGGTTTGTCAGAGAGTTGTTATATAAGTGAGGAATGGTAATAATTTGTTTATCAAGGAAAAATATCAAAATTTACAGCTCTTCTTCTCTTTAAACTCACAACTTCCTCTTCTCTCTCTAGCCTTATATAATATGCTTTACATTGACATTGGGTAAGTTTTACCATTCAAACGTTAGGATTGCTGCAATATGAAAGAAATTCAAATTTCATGGATATTCGCTGCTACTTTATAAATTTTTTTCACTTCCCAACAAATACTCAATTATATCCTTAATCATATTAAGCTAATATGACAATAGATAAATTTGCTTCCTTTAAGTCACAATTACAATTATTCATGTATGTGGTTTTATACTTTTTCAAATGTAATTTGCTTACTTCAAACGTGTAAGTTGTTTAAGAATTTAGGAGCCGTCAAATACTATCTGTAAAAAAATAAAAAATAAAAAAAATAAAAATAAAAAAAGTAAAAATTGTTATAAATAGGTAAAAGTTAGAGAGATAACATTTATTAATGACAGGAGCGAAGTAGGTGTTAAATATTACACTATAATTAGAACACAAGGAGATGACAAATAAAAAAGGGAGGGATAGATAATGATGTTATTAATCTTGCTTTGTTCTCTGTGTATTTTGAAAGCATATGGAGCGCTTTATTTATAGAGCAACTCCAAACAAAGTATGAACTATACGTTGAAATTTACAGCACACACTTTTTGACAATATGATCCTCCTTCATTTCCCAAGTCAATATCACTTTATGTGGGCATTGAAAAATCTACCAATGTTTTCAATATCATTGTGGGCATTCATTAACCCACCCGTATTTTCAACAAAAATAAACTCTTCGTAATACATTTCACCTCTTCAAATATAAAAATTTTTAACTATTGTATCTAAGTTTAAATTAAATAAACATTCCCTCGAAATCTGAGAGACGTGAGATTTGTAGATGCTTAAATTACACTACGAAATCTCTTAAATTCCCTCGAATTCCTCAATTTTTTCAAATTCTTTAAAATCAACTTCTAAGTAAGTAAATGTTATAAATTGCTTTAAAATCCTAATTGAATACCTAGATTTCCAAGGATTTTAATTAATTATCTTAAAATTCTTATTGAATACAATTTTAAATTTAAGAGAATCGCTTAAATCTATATTGAATACTTCTAAATTTATTAAAAAAAATTAAAATACTTCAAAATCCCATTTGAATACACGATCAGAAATTTTAAGTCAATAATCGCCGAAGCATCCAAGAGAGCCGTTTGAAATAAAAGAAAGGCCTTTGACCGGACGGTGTAGATCTAAAGATGGACCCACCAAGAGTCGGCGCGTGAAAACATTATATCGCCTTAACAAGTCCGTTCCCATAATCATCGTTCTCTGTTGGATCCCCACCACGTCCGCCCATCATCATCACCACATTTACAGTAGATATTTTACTCTCCCTCGCTCACTTTCACTGCCTTTGCCTTTTGGGTTTGCAAAAAGCAAAGCCCTTTGATGAATCAATCATACGCTTACTAGTATTCCCAAGTACGTTGATTTCGTTTTTCTTTCCCCTTCCTTTTTGGCTTTTTCTCTAATAATATCGTGATGATTTCCCTTTACGCGCCATTCAATTACCATTTTTTTAGCTAGTACTGTGAATTGCGATGCAGTTTTTCGTGTATAAAATGTTGGGTTTAGTGTCAATTTCCATTTTTTTACTGCCTCGATCTTGTTTTTACTTATTTTTTATGGTTTTATGTGCTTACAAATCGTAATTAATGTTCTCATTGTCAGATGTTGAAGTTTGACTACTGGTGAGGCTTGTGCTTGTTTTCCTAGTTTCTTAACTAAAGAAAGACGACTTTCAACACTTTCCTTCCTGGGAAGGTTGGAAATTGGAAAATTGATCAAGTCTTTCGCCTTCAAAACACTTCCAGAAGAACCCAAAAATCTCAGTCCAAGAACACAAAGTCTGCCAGCGGAAAGGAAAAGAATTTCGAAGTGTTTTTCCTGGAAAAGGAAATTATGGGTTTTGTTGGACAAGAAAAAGATTGAAATCTCAGGGAGATATTGACCAAAAAAATAAAGGGAAATCTCAGAGAGGCGGACATTGATCGGTGCATATATAGATATATCCATCAACCAAGAAAGATGGGTTCTTTCAAAGGTCATATTCTGCCAGGGACTTTGTTTTTGGTTGTTGGGTTGTGGCACGTATGGTGCTCGCTGGTGAGATATGTGTCAAACCCCAAGTCCTTTCGGGTACATGTATGGAACCCAATTCCCGGTGTTGATGGGAGGCTTAAGTATTTTGAGCTTTATCTTATAGCAGTTGGTGCTTTCATTGATATGTGTATCGAGCTTTTGTATTCGACCCATCTCAAGTTCTTTGTAGATGGAGTCTTGAACCCTCATCACATGAATGATTTCGAGCACTCGGGGATGCTTCTTATGTTCTTTATCTTTGGGGTTGTCACCCTGATCTCACAGGAGACAAGGTATGGTCATGCTCAATCGATTATATTGATTGCCATTTTCTTCGTTTTTATATCATGTTGTGTAACAATCTTGTTGATTCGTCGGAAAAAGGTAGGATAGAAAAAGCAATAGAGCCACTGATTCTTAGATTTTAAATATATGAGATTGATGGAGTAGCTGCTTGGATCAATTAAGAGTGTTGCATTTTTTTCACCTGCTCAAGTGGATGTTTCTATAGCACCGGAAACAAATTAACAAAATGAGTGCACATCTAAAAGTTTATTCATTTTTTTCAGCTTGGACGAGGAGGCATTTGTAGCCATGCTTCCTCGGTTTCTTTACAATTTAAAGATTTTAATTTTGATGCTAGCAATCAAAATCGTTCAGATAATAGTACTTGCATAATTAGATGACTGCGGCAGCTGCTTATATGATGACCATCTGTGCTTGTGTACATTAGATGGGGATGGTAATTTGCAATTAGATACTCCATGGGAAGTGAATAAGGGATTTCATAATTATTTGTTGTGATATATTGCAACACTTTTATCCACTATTTATGATAGCTAAATAAGAATAGAAGAAAAAAACACTATCTTAATATGATTGCTTAATTCGTATATAATTGTGTAAGCATCAGTTTTAACTCATGAAACTTAGATATATGTCAACAGACAGCAAAAGTTTTGCAATCGTTCCCCAGGAATTCAGAGTGATGTGAAAATGTTTCCAATAAAGAGGCAGATGTCTGATGATAGTACTTGTGTTTTTTGGAATTTCAGTTGACAAGAGAGAGATGCTCCCTCTTTGATCTAGGTTCCAGTCTCCCGTCCCCTCTCTCTGACCTACTGGTCTTCCATCAATGTTGATGCCATCATCAGCCATGGCCTCTTCAGGACCCACCTTTGGAGCAACACAGCTTCTCCCCATCACCACTTAGCTTCATCTAAAACGTTGAACCCCGGTAGATATCCTTCCTTTATCCTGATCCCTTCCCAGAAAAAGCTGCCACAGCTCTTGACCTACAGCTAACAAGACTAATTATTCCACTAGGCTTGTTAACATAGGGTTATCCTTAACTCTCATATATATATTCCAGTATTCTATTCGCTCATGTTAATCGGGGAGAGCTGAAGAAGCTCCAGTACCCAAGTCCATGATGGTTTCTAGCGGCCTGCTTGTGCCTGCAGACTGACTCCTTTTCGGTGGGATCATTGTAGAATTACTTTTGAAACTATTTTTATAGTTACCGGTGCTTCAAATATCATGGTGCTACCCATCAGACATTAACCTCTATTTACGCAACTGTTTGTTAATTGTTAATTTTAACCGTCCAACACATCATCTATGCAATATCCTTGGTTTTCTGTTATGCGATGACTTTGTACTATGGCTAATTGTTTTTCTTTCTCCTTTAATGTCATGCAATTAGATTTCTTCCGATGCCTGAAGGAGCTCTTGCTCTGATTGCTGCTACAGCATTCTGTGCAGAGTATCTCCTTTTCTACTTTCACTCAACAACTCATAAAGGCCTCGAGGGGTATTACCACATCCTCCTTGTCCTCCTGATCGGGCTCTGCATATTATCAACTGTGGCTGGAGCCCTCTTACCAACCAGCTTTCCAATTGATTTATGTAGCGGTATTGCCATAACTCTCCAAGGCCTCTGGTTTTATCAGACTGCATTCACTCTCTACGGCCCCATGATGCCAGATGGTTGTCAGCTCAAGGATGATATGATCTCATGTCATTCTGTCGACAGTGAGGTCCGAGGTGAGTTGCTTGCAAACTTCCAGTTCTTTACCATGGTTCTTAGCTTGCTTGTTGCAGTTGTGGGAGGATATGGTTTTGTTACCTCAAGATTTGGGCATTCTGATCAACGGAGCTTGCGTGCAGTATAAGATGTATTGGTTGATGATCGACATAGGGGTACGCTAGCTTATCCTTGTCCGCGTTTATTGCAATACAAGCTGTTCTTCTGACAACCTGATTTCTGTGATTTTACAGGTTTGAAATGCAGATCTAAAAAAATATAATGTTTACCGGAGGAAAGATCGAAACATAGATTTTAGATATAGAAGCAAATGGAGTTACGAGTCGTGGAGTTAGTGGCATTCATAATTTCAAAGATACAAGGGGAGCTTTTTTTGTCAATAATGAAGAGGCTTTTGTTCAAGGTCATGTTCTTCCCTATTTTCCCTATTACATCACACAAAACTGAGCGCAATGACGTTCTAGGATTCATATAACCGACCTCATTTAGTGGGAAAATACTTTGTTGTTGTTGGTGGTGTCGAATTTTGTAAACTTATTGTGATCTATATAATATTTGATGTATTTATTCATTAAAATGACGTCGAGTTAGGATTTAGCATGGGTTACAACATAGCTATCTCGATGTTGACGAGAAATTTACAAGCAACCAAAACGCGAAGGTGTGGTAGCCCAACGCTATCACGAAACGCCATTTGTTTCGAGTTGTGTGGAACAAATAGCAAGGCAAGAGATAAAGAATGCAAACCAAAACAGCAAGAACATCAAGATTTCTATATTTGTCGTCGATTATGTCTGTTTTGTGCCATCGATCCATTTAGGGCTTAATCGCACTTAGTGGCGGTTTAAACAAAAGGACGATAGGATTATCGTCGTAGAAATGCACACAATACTAAAGTTCCAGAGATACTCAAGGTGATTTAGCCTTCAACTGCTTGATAATGGTAATTAATATTCAAACAAAAACTAATTAAAACTGCATATCGCTTCCACACAATTCACAATTTATTGCCAAATCTGTTCGAAACTAAATTTAACGAGCCGCTAGTTTTGACGTAAAACCAAGAAATACAAATACAACACTCACTTTTATGCTTCTATAATGTAAAACCAGCTAGGCAAACCTTCAGCTGATCGACTTCAGCTTTTCCGCTTCAGCCGCTTATACAAAAGAGCAACTGCTGCCCGTTTGCTTTCCACAATATCATAGATCGAAATAAATTAGGAGAGAATTAAACATTTCAAGTCTAAGGCACACAGCATATGCACAAAAAAGTCTTTATAACACGCAACGTAGGAGACTGTAAAGATCACTAGAGTTTATTTCATTCAAATATGCTTCCCTAATGGGATCTGCCAACCGGGTTCAATAAGGAACAACGATGGATTCTATAAGCTCTTGAAGTGGAGCTAGCTCCTTCTTGTCAATTAGCACGAATTCCTGCAAAAAGCACGGAATCAGCCTACAAGTTTACCAAGTAGGAACTTTGTCCATGAAGTATGATAAAACCATGACTATTATGCATTAGTAATATCACTCCTCGAATCTAACTTCTATCGGATAACAATAAGGCCATGACAGGTGTTCAAACAACTAGCAACCTATACCACTTTATGAATTGAATGTCTGTCTCCCAACTGATGTATTTTGTGCCAAAAAAGGGGACGGAATCTGGAACTCACTTGTTCTTACAATGAGCATATGCACTGGGGTCTGAGGTAGTAGTTGGTTGAGGTTGCATGGGTTAGTTTGGGTTTTTCCTCGGTTACAATTCAACATTGTTTGCAAAAAGTAATAGATTCCTTACAGGCTCCATCCTCTCTACCCTGTAGAGATTTATTTTCTATAATTTTATTAGATCGGGAAGCTGCTGTAGTTGAGAGTTTTGACTACAATGTCAGAGGTGTGTTTTGGTTTTGTTTCTATGAGTTGTAGCAAAACGTTGGTTGGCCTCTTGTTCCCCGAGTCTTTGTACTCTATTTTATGACTATTATTATAAATTCAAGTTACCAACAGCTAGACCACAATCTAGAAGGCGAATTAAGAATATAATCAATTTCAGAATGTTATCGACGTTATCAAAAAGATACAATGATTAAACAGATAAACATACAACTAGATATATTTCAAAAAGAAGAGAAAAGAAAACAGTTATTGCAATAGTAAGAGTACTTACACAGGTAAATAGTATGAAATGCTTGAAGCAAGTATTTAAATGGGCCTCCTCCTTAAGGCTCACAATTTTCTGGAAATGAGAGTGATATATGTGGGCATATACACGGAACAGTCTTTTGAATATCGTCTTCACAACCTCCCTGAAATTGGGGGGAAATGGTGCACCTGAAAGACAAAGAAAGTGAACAGAGAATGAATTATATTAGTCAAATGAAAAACACAACATTGGGAAAAAACGATATTGTCATAAATAGCATTACCAAGCTTTTGGGGAAATATGGATTCATCATCAAGTTGAGATTCAATCCAGTCCATTAGATATTCAACATATTTTGGAGCTGAAACCTCAATCGGTTTCTTAATCTGTACACCATCTGCCCACCTATACTCATACCTGTAGAGTGTTAACAAACAGAAGCTGGATTAGAATAAAAATTATAGAAGGCATAATTTGATCAGTCGTTAAAGTTGTCCAAGCCATCGAGTAAAAAGAGAAATTGGGAGTACATAACTTTTCAAAGGTTTTACACGAAAAAGATGTAGAAATTTGCTGGCAATATTTCAATACTGAATTTATGCAACAGAAACTGAAAAGTAACTCTAGAGCTAGCAGGCAAAGGTTGGTTAGCAGACAAACCACATTCTGAATGACCAGAATGATGTAGGAGATTATGCAAGTACTGGGTTGTGGGTGCTGAGAGAAAGGTATACAACCCAAAAGAGAAAGGGGAAGTTGAGGCATGCAAAGGTCCACATACTGTCTGAAAGAGGAGGTTGGTTTCCCACAAAGCAGAGAGATTGGGACAGGGTGGTTCAAGGGGTAGAGATAGGGAGGAGCTTCATTCATTTTCTCTTATCTAAAGAATATTGATATTGAATACTTGATCCTTTTCATAGTAGTGTTGATGACCTGTGTTAAACACGTCAGTATTAAAGAGTCAAATTAATAGTTTATTTTAATATCTATCAACATGTGAACACCTAATTGCAAATGGAATCAATTGCTATTAATTTCAGAATTAATATAAAATTATAAATCTAGCTTTCTGAAACATCTTGTACTTAGTGTGTTTCCACGTTCCCCAGGAGACTTTTGGTAGAAAGACAAGAAGCCAGTAACACAATGGTAAAAAGCCCAGATTTAAGAAAAGAAAGAGCAAAACGGTTTAATAAAAGAAAGATATAATCCCATACTTGGGGCCTGCAGTCATTGTAGGACAATTCTCTGGAGTACAGAACTCTGTGAGGGTACCGTATAACAGGTTGACCTGATTGAAGAAATCCACAGCTGAAATTTTAACACCGACGACAAGATTTTAGAAATAGAGTACACGAGGGATTGAATTAAACAATAAATTGCTGGAAAGGAGGTACTTGAATGTTGTAACGAAGATTATTTTTCCTAAAAGACCAGAGAAAATGAAATTCACATAATTGGTGCTGTTTTTTATTATTTTGTGATTTTTATTCTTTCAGTCGGATGTGGGGACATGAGGGAGGAGATCAGATGTGAAGGAAGGGGCAAGAATATGTAGAATGGTCTTTGTACTTAGTTTTAGTTTTATCTATTCCAACTTTTTTGTTCCTCGCCTCTCATTTTTCTTCAGTACCTTATTTCTCTCCTCTTTCTCTTCTTTAATTGGAAGAAACATAAAAGCAAGCCCTATAGTTTTCTGGTTTTTGTCTGGAACACAGTAATATTAAGAAGTAAAGTCACTCCCTTTCAACTGCTTTTTAAAGTCTTATCTATTTTCTCATAATACTTTCTAAGAGAAACACATGAAAATATAAATATAATTTCCAATAATATCTCAAGTTGCATCCAATAAAAAAAAATTCGGAGGAAAGAGTCCCATTTTCATGTAAATCCTTTTACATAGAAACTTTTACTGTCTAAATCATCACACAACAAGCTAAACAGAGCTTTATGCAACAACCATGTGTTCTTTTGATAAGAAACAAAACTTTTAACCACGTATCAACCATATAATGGACAAAACAAACTAAAAATTGACAGGCACTAGTTTGTGATGTGTGAGAGTGTGTGTGTGTGTGAGAGAGAGAGAGAGAGAGAGAGAACTGTTAACAGCAAGCCATTCATTTAAATCTTCTCCAGTTGGAAGTTTTACTGCCTCTCTTAGGTTGCCGCTACCAAGTGTAGCATCAATATGCTTTCTAAGCTGAGCACCCTGCATCAAGAGAAAAATTCAATGAACGAATTCAGTTACACCGTATGATTGTAGTATAAGATCCGAACAGCTCTTTCATTGTTTTTCTCTCTGGATTTTTAGTCCCAGTTACTTTCACTTTGCATCTTTAAATTACAACTTCGTGAATGCTCATTTTCCGATTCAATTCAGGTTCTAAACACTGTTAACATGCTCCTTTTCTCATTCCAAATTGTCCTTAATATCATTTAAGAGATTTAAATCTCACAGGTACAGGTTTAAACCATACAAATTTCAAGTTTTAAATCCCACATCATGAGAATTAAACACTAGGAGAACATATATGTAGTAGTAAATGCAAGGACAGAAAAATTTCCGAGTACAATTCAATTTGTAGTAAGGAGAATCAGATGAGAAAAGAAGAAAGTTACATAGGAAATTATGCCCATATAATATGGGTATAAATGGCCACAAAAACTCAATAAAAGTTTTCTATTTTGGAAGAACGATGTACCAATATAGAATTATAGATACATACATAAACTCGGAGAAAAAGTTGAGCAAAGGGGAACAACCTTACTCCCTGAAGGTGCGCTTTTTTTCGGGCGGAATGTCCTCTGGTTTCTGCATCATTAGCAAACTTCAGTTTTACAAAATTGATAGTAACTAAAATCATAATGTACTAAGCAGCTTAGAAGAAAATAAAAATGCATTTTGTACATGCACATACTAACACAGGAAAATAAGCAGAGGGGTAGAGGGAGTGCTTAGAAACTAGAAAGTTGGTGACATTAAATTATGGGTTTCTGGTTCACACAGCCCGTGATAATATATCTACTCTTTGAAATTTTTAATACATATGCATGTCTTGATTTTTCCATTCATTTATCTACGAAGTAATAACTACCGAGAGATTAACTAAACAAGAACATGACCATTTTCATAAACCCTAAGGGGGCGTTTGTTTGGCCTCGTTAGCTGGGACTGGACTGGACTGGACTACTTACTAACGTAGTCCCATGTTTGGTTTGCATTGGGACTAAGTTAAATGGGACCAAAGGGGACTCGCATGGATTAGAGGCCTCGCTAGGAGTTCTTAGCGAGACCTTCCACAAACCACAGGACTCACTAAGACCATCTTCGCTTAGCCCCTTTCGCTTCGCCCCTGCTTCTTCTTCTCCGCTCTCGCATCCATTTTCATCTTCTTCCTCATCTCTGCTTTGCCCCTCTACGAGTTATGGGCTACATTCTTTTGGATCTCAAAGGAATTTGCTTCGATTTGCAGATCATGGGGAGGAAATGGGCATTGTGGCAGCGATTTGCTTCAAGCGTCGTCATGACCGCCATGGATGCCAAGCCCTTGCAAGCTTCAGTTCCCAACGCTTCAGCCCACAACGCATCAAGGCCTCCAATACCCACTTCCGATTTGGTCTCCCCCACCATTTCTAACATGCCGATAATTTTTTCCCAATCAAATCCTTGAAGAAAACTGCTCCATCCTCTCCAAGTTTCTTATTCTTCTGCAAACTCTCCCATCAGGTAAAGAGGATTGCTTTTTTTTTTTTTCCTCAATTTTTTAATTTTTTTTTTTTTTTTTTCACATGGGTTTGCTTGGTGCTATGTTGTTGCTGATTAGCGAGACCCCTCGACTACCACCGGATTGCTAAGACCCTTCTTTTCTCTCGCGTCGTCCCACTCGACTCCTAGCTCTGCTCGACTCCTCATCCTGCTTGACAAGCTCGTTGGACCATCCCAGGACCACCGCCGCGTCCACGTACACTGCTTCCTCTGCCACTTTCTCTTCTTAGTTTTCTTCAGTTTTGTTTTGAAGATTCGTGAAATTATTACTAGGTTTTGATAGATTTTTGTTTTTGATCGATTTGTGGGTTTGATTGATTTCTCATATTTGATTGGTTTCTGGGTTTTGATTGCTACCCATTTGTTTTCAATTTATCTGCTATTTTTCCTACTTTATGAAATGAAGTACAAAGTTGTTCTATGTAAATTCTGATCTGTTTTGTTATTAACTCATTAATTTCTGCAGGTATATGATCTTACCTAGTTAATTAGTACCTTTTACATTAAGGCTTATGGTAGTCTTACAAGAATCCAACGAATTGAGTGGAACTGTCGGTGAGGGTGAGGGAGAAACCAATGTTCAAGAAATCTTAAACAAGGCTCGTTCATCTTCTAAATTGCAAATTTGGTTTTCTTTGCCTATCAATTTGAGTCGTTGAAAGTTTGATAATTCTACAAGTTGTAGAAGCACCTGCAATTCGTGAAGAAGAAGAGGGCTACGCCCTTTTATTTTTCAATATATTCATTTTGATATTTTTAATAGAAAATAAATTAAAATATAACAATAATAATGAAATTTATTGTTAGTCTAGTTTTTTAGTCCAACACTGTACCAAACGATTCACTAAGCTAGTCCAGCTTAGTCTAGTCTAAGCTAATCCAGCTTAGTCCCTGAAGCTAGTCCAGTCGAGACAGTCCGGTGCAACAAACGCACCCTAAATTCTTTGATCTAGCCTCTTCTCACAGCAATGTACTCTTTTGTCATTTACGTTTACAAACTGCCTTCTACTATTCTTTTATGACAAACACAATATTTAGTAAGAGGAAACGAAAGGAATACAGGAAGCATGAACAAGTAATCTACACAGCACATAAAACAACATAAGAAACGAAAAAACCATAAGAAATGGAAAAACCAACGAAAAAACCTAAACCAACTGACAGAAGAAAATCTCAGGTTGGAGTCAGTTCAAAACTCCCCCTCCAATCAAGAAAATCACACTCATGAAATGTTTTGGCAGAGAAGCCCAGACAGAAGCAAATAGCCTAACTCTATCACAAATTGCACCCACTTCCTCTTCATTGTCAAATCCCAATAAACTAATCAGCTTTATTAATTTTTATTTAAGAAACAATTTTTTAAATTCTAAAAACCAGTACAATCAAATATTACAGGAAACTGCCACCTACAAAAACAACAGTATACAGCAGAAAAAGGAATGTCCATAGACTGAACCCACCAGGAAAACCCAAACAGAACATTGTCCTGCAAACTTCCATACCTTCCTCTCCAAAAATGTCCAAAATCCTACTTTCCTCTACAAGAAATACCACCAAAAATCAGACAAAAAATCACACCTCCATAAGATAAGACTTCAACCATTTTACATCCCCGCAAAAACCTTAACCTTTCCAGTGGATGAGAACCCTCTCCAAGGGAAACCCACACAGCCATCACACAAGCAGCTCCCCATTTTTCTTCACCGAATCACTCACCCCCTAAACCACCCTCTGCTTTCCTTCTAGATATTACACCCAAACAAATCAATCCTTTCTCCCTTCCTCAATACCGTCCGCCAAGAAATTGCCATAAACTCTGCTAACTATTTTGCTACTTTACTAGATTTTTACAGAGAGACAGATAATAAACTGGCAAAGTGCACAACGAGATTGATGTAGAGGGGCGGGTCTCTCAGTCCCACTCCTGATCAAATAACATCTCAAAAGAATGAACAAAGAAGGGGATCTGGATTTATCTGCAGATGATGATGATGTCCACTCCTGGCTCGAAGGGCCATAGACCCTTGACAAAAATGCTTTCCCCCGCCCTCCCAACAGCCAATTTCCTTGCAGCACCACATTTTTCAGCCTCCCCTAAAACCATCCTTTTCTTTCATTCTATATATTATTACATCCCATCTAATCAAGTGCTCTCACTTTCTCAATAGCTTCCCACAGTAAATTCCTCACTAACTTTTCTAACCATTTTCATACTTTAATTGGAACTGTAAAATGAAAAAACAATAGATTGAAAACTACTCAATGAATTGAAACCCTTCTTCCTTTCGACAAAAAAGAGCTTTGTCCACCTGCCACAAAGCTTCTTTGCATGCGACATATCAATCCCATTTCAATACCAAGGAACGACAACATATTGAGTACAAAGTTTACCATCCATCATGGTCCAAACACCAAATCATCATTATGAAAAACTATGCAAAGAAACAACAGAACTTCCAAATAATGCAAAGACCACGCACAAGTACAACCCATGTGATGCATCAACTATAATGCTGTTACTATCTTATCTATCTATCTATCTATCCATCAAGTTATCCACCATCAACCCTCTTGCCATTATTATTTTCCTGAGCTACAACGCCCAGAAATAAGCGGGCTCTATCACCAAACTCCATCATCCATCACTATTACTAAAATTTAATAACTAACAGCGGCGAGACGAATAGAAATCATCGACTTTCTTTAATAAGCTATCCACACCTTCCATATATTGCATTTACAGAACCCCAGCAGTATCAGTGATTCAGTATGGTAGAACAACAAAAAAGATAAAACCCATTAATCAACACCAAAAAATCCAAAAGAATACATCAAAAATCACAAATTTCATAGATCAAGTAAAAGGATTTCAAGCATAACACATCAGGAATCAACTGATCAGAAAAGAAAAATAAAGAAATAGAAACATCCATCAAAAGATTCAGAACCAAAAAAACACCAGAAATGAAACAAGCATGGAAGAAAGATCCATCTCTGGGGACATAAAGGAGATATGCAGATCAAAAGTTTGTACTTGCCTGCCCAGACCGAAGAGACTCATGGCTCCAAAGCGAGAGAGGGAAGAGGGGTTTGTGTATTGTCAGCTTCCTTCGTCCTTCATAATATACGATCGGGTTGGAAAAAGAGCAGGCCGGCCCTTACCCCTTTTTGTGAACCCCAAGACAAACTAAGGAAAAGACGTTAATTTCACAATTGCCCACATAACTTTGACAATGTTTTACTTTAGTCCTTTAATGCTACTTAGCATTGAGTGCTACAGGTGTTTAAAATGGTTTTCATTTTTGGTGGTGATGGAGGGAAAGGGATTTCTCCTGATCCCTTCCTCCTAATCCACCAAGTTTAGGGATCAGAACTTTTAAAATTTGATATAACGGCTATAAATATGGGTTTACTTTAAAAATTATAATAACCTTAGTCGTTGAATCAAATTTCAATGCCCGGATCTCCGAACTTGGTAGATTAGGAGGAAGGGATCTGGAGAGTACCCCTTTCCATGATCGAGGTCAATTTCACGAGTAAAAATTGTATATTTTAATGCCTGGGGTTGATTCCAGTTCGTACAAAAGGCCCAAATTGAACAATCAAATAATAACGGTTGGAACCAAATTTATGCATAATCGTTGGTATATGAATAATTGTCGGAATCCCATGAACTTCAAAGAATAGGGGGATTGTTTGGGGCGCATGTGATTGAAACCAGAAATGATTGCCTACCTATTCCCTTGCCAAAGAGGGAGAATCAAATCACGTGTAGTTTTGTGTGTGTTGTAAAAAGATGATCCTTATAAGAATTTTGACTTGCGTATTTATAGAGATTTCGAGAGTCCTTGTAGAGAAAGTAATCACTCTTAATCTATGAGAGAATCTAGAAAGATAATTAGTATAAAAGAAAGCTTGATTGCTACTAATACTATAACAATGTCGAACATGCTGTTTAGATAACGGATCATTAATGTAACGATGTTCAAGCTATCGTATTAACGGTAGACATGTTATGGTATCTTCGTATCTGTTGCAGCACTGGGGTTTTTCACAATTGGATTGGGATAGTTGATGCCAAATTGCGGAGTGACTAGATCTAATCAGAGTCGTAGTAGATCGAATGTCCAGCGAATTTGCCTTTCAAAGTGCGTTGTTGCTCCAACCGGATCTTCGAATTTCTGAAATCGAAATTGTTGTTTCTTGTGCACCATCTGCGGGCTAAGTGAGCGTTGCGACCCCAACTTGTCCTGTCAATTTTGGAGAATCGGAATGTTGTGCCCCATATCAGATCGAATTTGGTTCGCAAGTTGTGCGGAACGAGTTAACATCTTGACGGATATCATAGTAATTTTGTTATAACACAATGTATTAGTAGAATCATGTTGTTCCGCTTAACAGAGCAGATTCAAGAAATGGTACGATTGTGGTTACTCAAGAGTATCTCTCTTGGCACCGAAATTGATATGTTTACACCTAGGAATATTAGGACATTTAGGCAGCGTGATCCATTGCATATGAGTTAAGAGCAATGTTTGTTGAGTACAGTTTTGTGAGATATTCTTAGATAAACTTTTGGATATCATTTCTCTAAACCAATTAACAAAGTTGTTTGTTGGATTGTTCATTATAATCGTCTAAATGTGATTTGCCTAAGATAGAGGAAATGAACAAGATATAGAACTAAAGAATTAAGTCTTTTGAGACATAAGCTGACGCTCGACAAATTTGACGACCCTGTTCCTACACCAAAAGAGAGCTAGGTTTTCTCCTTAAGTCACTTATAAGAAGGGACTATATAAAGGGAGTTATAAGCTTACCCTCATTAAGGGTTATGTAATTTGGAGAAATTGGAGAAGCATCACTCTACATTTTCTCTTTATAAGGCTGGCCACATAGGGTGGTGTTGCTAGCACCACTCTCAACCCTATATCACTCATCTCATCTTCACATCTCTCCTCGGTGAAGAAACTAAAAGACCATCAACTTCGGTGGTTTATGGAGATTCTACTTTGTCATCCAAATCCAAGGATTCAAGGGGCAAGGTAATGAAAGCTGTCTCATGAGTAAATAGCATTTGCTTATGCAAAGAGATATCTATAAAGGTAAAATGAATTCTCAACTCCTTCTTGTAATTTGAGTTAAATTTGGTTCACCACTTACTAAGTTTCGAATTTCATGGTTAAAGATTGGTTTTTTAGTGCATATGAACAAGCTTTCGTCTTTTAACTGTTAAATGCTTTATGTATGTTGCTCAAATAATCTTTGATAAAAAATAAAATAAAAAAATTCACAAAATTGTAATATAAAGGTTAGGTCACGAATTAAGAATTAGGTACTCAGTTGCGCCGTTGGGTGAGGGAATCATCATTCAGCATTGTTACAAAAATATCCAAATAGGTATGTAGGAAGATATTCCATCTCTGACAGAAAAAAAAGGAAGATACTCCATCTTATCAAACAACCCAAAACTAGATTCCGATTTGAGGGGTCATACATTAACGTACTCTCTGTAATTTTCCTTTTTTTTTTCCCTGGTTTGAGGGGTCAGAGTCAGGAGTCAGGAGTGCAACCCAAACCCCCCCAGGGTCTCCAAAAGGAGCCATACCCTTTCCTGGTTTGCGCAAGAGGGAAAAATAGTACGGATAGGAGACAGTCAAGAACTGCAAACCAGCTAGGGCAAATGACTAATCGGTTTTTCTCCTGTCTGTCTTGGGCAGTGAGTAAGTTTCACCCACAGGATATAGATAGATAGATAGACAGACAGATATATATAACTGGTTGTTGTCGATTGTCAGCTAGCTAGCATGCTTGGGTTTTTTGGTTTTAGGGTTGATATATTTGGTGCTTTGGCAATATTGTCACTTGGTTGCTATACTCTTGACTCTTGAGAGTTGCCTTCCATTCTTTCATATTTGAACAATTACGAATAAGTTACGTTAATATTTTATATTAATTTTTTTTATAAAAACAAAAATACAAAAAGTAAAATGTGAGAAGAGAAAAAGGAATAGAATGAGAATAGAAGGGGAGATAATCATACTCTATATTCCTAGCACTAGTAGGGACAAACAAAACCCTAGCCCCTCTCTCTCTGACTTGGTTGTATTCATTATAAATGGAAAGATGGATAACCCGAACATGACTCATTAGTTTTGTAAATATACAAACAGATGAATCAAATGCTGAAAGTAAGAATTAATCAGTTGTTGCGTAGAGTTGACGTGGCAAGCAGGTTAACAAGTTTTTCAGAACTCCCTACCTTTCTTCCTCAAGAAAAAGAAAATAAAAAAGATAACAAAAGTGAAAAAAAGACGTAGAAAAGTATATGAAACATGAGGCATGGTCGATCGTGGACTATGACCACCTTTTAACGTTAGGAATGTTTTGTTTTCAAGTTAACAATGGATACTTGGAAAACCAGATCATAAAGCCATTCAGCGACCACCACTAAAGTAGATCTCTGTCTTAATTACAACTCTTTTCCTATTTCGAATGTTTGATTACACTTATATTTAATAAGGAGAACAAACTAAAAGTCTTCTAAAATTTTAGTTTTAATGGAAAATAACAAATAAATGTGTGAGTGAATAGTATCAGGAAAGGTAAAAATGTCATTTTTTAAAAGTGAACAATACTGAAAGTGTTTCGTTAAAACTTTCTATTTAATATGTATACTGTGTCTTTTGAAATTTTATTTCACATGTAAAACACTACTTATTAACAGGCCCCATGTTAAATAGACGAAAATAACATGAAACAATACTATTTTCATTCATAATTTAGGATAAACTTAAGGGATTTTTTGGGTGTTCCAAATTACCAAGTAGTCCGACTTTGAAACAATCTTCACTGTTCAATTTCTTAAAGTCAACATTTTAATTTGGTAAAGTCGAACTTCAACGTTCATTATCCAAACTACCGAAGAATAATTAAAAAAAAAAAAAAACAAAACAAAATAACAAGCTAACATTGTCCTAGACAAGTTAACTAGCTAAGACACAAACCCGATACTAAGTAACCAAAAGAAAGCACAACCAATCAATCAAAACGGAAAACTCTTAACAATTAACCAAAATAAAACCCCATATAAATATAACCAACTATGATCGTTGAGTTAATCAAATAATAAATTATTATTTTAACGTCATAATATACTTCTTTGAGGGAAATCTGTGTCACTTACATTTGATAAACACCATGTCCTTGAAGTGCCACATTCCACAATCACCTCCCTCTCAATGTAGAGATTTTCCAGTGTGATCAGAACACGGGATGATACACCACGTATCACTATATATACAAATTGTGGGATATGTGTGTTAAAAACTTAATAACTTAAATATTAAAATTTCTGACCACTTATAAAAGCAGATAGTGTACCTTCCGTATTCCGGTCACAATAAAATATTTCTTCTTTCGATGAATACTAAAATATTGGGTTTATCATATGGCATGCACATCACCTAGCATGCATGCAGGAGACACTAGCCAACTCGAAAGAGATAGCACACTGTATATTTTGTCGAACATGAGGGCAAGTTTAGGGGACTCCAAGGAGTCGATATATAGCTTCAATGGGAGATATTCCAAGTCTCAAGGGGTCCTTTGACACCTATTGCATCCGCCAGTGCTTCGCTCTCTAGTCAAACGATCAATCTAGCAGATCGTGCGCGGATCGAAATTGTTGTCTCATACGTTCTACCTCACTCTAACAAGACTCATGAAAGATATATGGGAGTAGGTAACAAATACAATGTTAATGCATCCGCTCTTGACATCAACATATAGGGATAATATTTGCACCTATTCCATTTGGATGCACGTGTATGTTCATCCCTTTCAAATAACGTATTTTTACTTTACAAATATTATAATTAGAATCGTCTAATTTCTTTAACACCATTAGTAGGACAAATCATTTGAATTAAAAAGCATTTAGTCATTTAACAAATATACGGTTTACTTAGTATCAATATTGTCGATTTGATTCATACATTCCCACCCCCCCCCCTCCCTCCCTCCATAAAAAAAAATTGGGAGTATTAGAAATGATGAGTTTTCCAGTATCGTTCCATTCTCCCTCAAAATGAACATAACGTTTACCTTCAACTTTTTTTTATAAGGAAAAAGGCGATACTTCATTTCATTTCCAAAGTTTGACAAACTAAGAACATAAGGGCAATATTTCATTTCATTTCCAAAAAGACGATACTTCAATATTAAGTGTCAAAATGAACATAACGTTTACCTTCAATAAACTTTGAGCGCGATGAATCATCCATTCTAATTCTACTTAAAAGACCAAACGAAACCATAGTTCATATGTCATATATATTAACAAAAGAGATCTCTTATACGTAATACATTTACTAATAGACTATATATAACACTTAATATTACAATTCGTGCACACAAAATGGAGTCCAACATATACTGGCTACCAAACTCTCTAAAAACGGGTACTATATTGTACATGGGGCAGTCGTTATTAGTTTTATCGCATTCACGAAATTGCTTAATTGTCAAAAATTGTTTAGGAGAACTTACATGCCTAGTTTCTCTAATTAACTTCACAGGTGAACACAACATGGAGGGATCTTCTCCTTTTATGTAAGGGTTCAACAAGTTTTCCCCTCTCTAATTTTAGTCATCAATAAATAAATCAAATGAAAACAACATAAAAAATTAAATATGAGCGTGTGAGAAAATTAAAAAAAGTATGTTTATCATTTTTCTTAAAAAACAGAGAGGGATGTGTGGAAGCCAAATTATATGAAAAAAATAAAGGTAAAACGGTCAAAATAATAAAATTATAAACTTCTAAATTATCAGCTTTTCAATATGTTGTCTTTGTTGACAATCTTTAGTTATTATATTGTCGATATTTGATCGATAGGTTCTCAAAATTTAACGTCGATCAGATTAGTACAAGACATCCATAGATATAACTGCAAATCAATGAAATTCCATTTCTCAAACTATATGTGTTACAAAGAACAAACTCAAATGTGAGCCGCGTAATCCCAAAATTCCAAATATAACAAGGAGGAATGGTAAGGGGCAAAAAAGAAGACCCAAAGACAATCGAAGGCAAAAATGGACACATCTGGGTCTCCCATCCCATGTGAATGAACTACCACCCTCATGGGCCATCACTATATATGATAAGGAAGGTAATAAAAAAATTGTAATTTAAAGTGTTAGACATATAAGGCTGTGTAAGATACACATTCCCCCCAACCCTCGCAAAGCGGGGAGCCTTGTTGGTTTGGGGTCGCCCTTTTAGACCATATAAGGTCAATTCAATTTCCAACCATCATTAGTTCCATTGGAGACTCCATTGAAATCTTCTATTTTCCAGCTTTCTTGAGACATCCAGATGCATCTTAAAATCTTTCATGCCTTCCACCAGAAATGTTGGTCATGCAGTGTTAGAATTTAAAGGTATTGTGCTTGTATTCTCTCTCTGTTTTCTTCCCACCATGTCTTCGCATTCATCTCCCCAAACCTTTCGCGGCTGTGCAAATAACAGAAATAAGGTCATGAGCTGCCTCTCCGCCAACAAAATGAGAAATTACAAAATATGAATCATGAAAACAGAATCGAGAACTGTTTGTATGGAATAAGGAAGTAAATGTTGAGCAAGAAAAAACTAGGTTTCTAAGCAAGATAAAGAACTAGATGAATGGAAGTAAATGCAGTGAAAACTTGTAAGTACCATATGAATGACTCAAATTAGAAAGTGAATGAACATGGCAGTGGATCCATTACCTGAATCTGACACGCCTGAGCTCCCGGGTGCCATCCGCTAGCTGCCTAATGGTTATATACACCCCAGGCTCATCTTCCTCAACCCATTCCGACTCCACTTCACTAGCATTGCTAATTGAGACTGAAGCTTCATCTCGAGAGGAGGTTGTTGTCCGCGATGCATCAAAAGATGATGCCTCTCCCTTGGGGCCACCTGCTCCATAAGCACTTGACCCACCAGCATTATAGTAGTGACCACCACTGCCACCACCATGATCCAAACCATCAGAGGGGAAATACCCTCTACTTCCAGTTCCAGACGGTTTATAGTTGTGCCTCGGTGTCCAATCTTTGTTCACTGATGGAGCCATAGGGCTTTCCATAGCAGATCCCATCCTTGAGTAAGAAGAATCTCTCTGCTGCTGAGTACAAGCGGTTAGTATAACATTTTGGTCTACACAAACTTCATAAACCACCACAAACCCTTTTCATTTCTAGTGTCTAGAGCAGAGAACTCTATCACAAAAACATGAAAAAATGATAAAGAAAACATTAATTTTCATTACCTCATCTTCGGATCTTGGGGGAGTGTGAAGAGCTTGCCGGTTGAATCTCTGGACATTGTAGAGCTCCATGATGCGGTCATAATTCTCACCCCACCATCGCTGCGCTTGCCATTTGTTGAACATCTCTCGGCTTCAAATTTCAAATCATATATAATCAATTTATGGCACATAGGTAATCAACATTCAACAACTAGATTTTACGACATTTTCAGAATCACAGCCACATCAAATTAAAGTCCCAAAACATTATAAATGTTCCGTATACGCTCCAAAGAGATATGCTTGTCTGTATAAATGAAGGTCATTGGCATACCTGAAACGAATTCGTTTGAGATCATTTCCCCCATTAGGAAGAGATACAAAAGTAATGTGTACGCCGGGTTCCACCTGTGCCATCCACTCCTTAGGCTCATCCTCATCCTCTAGCACAACATCACAAGACTGTGCTGATATTGATGCACGATCACCGCCACCATATGGTCTAGTAAATCGAGAGTCCGATCTTGCACCCAACTGATGATTAGAGGTGAAGTCCCAAGCAGGTGTAGAACTTGTGCTTGCACCTCCCATATAGGGGTACGGCATTCCTTCAGAAGCAGTATCAAAATCCGGGTATCTCGGCCGTCCTTTCTTATAATTGCTTGACCCTGTGCATGGTTTGCATTGCTTGTACGCACCAGAGAATTTCAGTGCCATATCCTTAATCTACAAAATGTTAATAAATGGGGTTGGTCAAGCGTCCAAGAAAGCTGTACAATGATTAATTGAAACATACATTTATCCCAATTTTTTTTTTCAATAGTTTGGGACTACTGGGTAGTCCAAAATATTAACGGTGAAGATTGACTCTAAAAAATCAAACGGTGAAGATTGTTAAAACAGTCGAGCTACTTGGTAGGTTGGACGCCTGAAGACAAACCCCATTCTATCACTATTTCCATGTCAATAATGTAGAGTAGGTTTTGAATATTTAGCAGAAAAATAGAAAATTTTCCTCCAAAAACATAACATAGAAATGGATGAAAACAGTTTATATGTGATGGTTCCATGTGAAGAAGCAAACATTTTACTTTCTTTACATGTAGTTTATCGAAGTGTAGAAATGTGATGCACAGTTCATAAGCAAAACAACAATTACTGTGGAATAATGGAAAGTACGTATTTATTTGGAACCAAATTTTTGTGATTGGTCTTGCTGAGACATCCATACACAAAGAGATTCTCCCATGTCACTTATTTATTATGTGTCAATCGTTTATTGAACGAATAATGCACTTTTTAAATACACGGCAAGTATTTACAAGCCGGTGACTTCACTAAAACTAAATTTCATTTTCATGAGAGGAACTATGTCGTGTGGATAGGGAAAATGTGGGTTCTGGATGAGGGAGGTAGATTGTCTGCCCTCCTGTTTGGGTGTCCTTCCCATCCCCTCCTATTTGTGCGGTCACGGTTAAACCACGTCAACATTTTATATTCATATTGCTTTTTATCTTATTGTCTCTATAAAAAATCAATATAAAATGTTGACGTGACTTAACCTTGACCACACAAAATAGGAGGGGATGAGAAGGACACTCAAACAGGAGGGCAGACAATCTACCTCCCTCGATGAGGGTATAACATACAGGAGGGCAGACAATCTACCTCCCTCGATGAGGGTATAACATACCGCCGGTGACACAAAAGAATCTTTGGAGCAGGTGGATAACGAACTGTAGCATTCCTTGTGTTAGAAAAGTGAGTCGTGCTAGCAAAAAGCCCCAAAGTGAAGGCAGATGATCAAACAAAATCTTGGATGATTTTATGTACTTTATTTTCTTCTGCTATAACATGACCCGTCTGGGTCGGGCTGTCATCTACTGGATTTGTATTTTCTATGTATTACTTTAGAAATGCAGTGATTAGACAAGAATTCAAAGGTGGGTCACCACCAAAGGACATCAATTAGCAGTCTCTCTTTTTCCAAATTTAAGTAACCATTTGTCTTTTCTCGACACCCCAACCAATCCCAACCCTCCATTTACTTATTGTGGAAACTCATACTAATTGACATTTTAAATGTAATTGCAACTTTTTACTATACATTTCCTACATATTTGTTGATAAAAAAAAAAAAAAAAAAAAAAGAGAGCTTAAATTAATCATTTTCACAACAATTCAGACTAAATAAATGAAAAGTAAAATATTAGGCCATGATTAATATCAAATGGGAAGTCATTTAGATTGAAAAGTCGGTATCAGGATGTTTTAATTGTTAATATATGTTTAAAATATAAAAAAAATCAAGATTTAACGATGTAAACACCTAGATACCGGGTACTATAGAGCACCCAAGAATTTTTGAATCAAGTCAGATAAAAACATTATAAATCAGACCAAAAAAAAATTCTGAAATGAATATAATAGTAACGTGTGTAGACATCGTATGATAAATTAATACGATATTACATATATTATATATTCTAATGACATGATAGTTAAAGTATACGTGTCCCACCATTGCTCACTTAGAGGCCAGTGTCTACCTGGTTCTTTTTTTTTGGACTTGGTCTACCTGGTTCTTTATTCAAACAAAATAAATAACATGTGGTACTTTGTTTTTCATAAAAAAAAAAAACAAATTTTTGGTGCATTCCTCCAAATTGTTCTATAAAAAATTAATAGTTGGATGCATAGATACCCTACCAAAAAAAATATTAATACCCACTATTGCATTTAACAGCGATTGTAAGACTCCTACAAATGAGATTATTGTCATTTCATTATCTGTGAATATCGTTTGTACAAAATAAATATATATTTTGTGAACTATAAAAATAGGATAGTAATTTTTACATGTTTGTGTTTATTTATGCGTTGTGTTTAAGATCGGAAGTTTGTAACTAAACAAGTGGTTAAAATGATTGATTGCATGACATACTCAAAGTTGACATGTGACATACTGAGAGTTGTCTCTCTCTCTCCCCTCTTTTATTTTGTCACAATACAGAATCTAGACTGGGCTCACTGCCAATTTGAGTCCCCGTGCTTATTGATAATTAGGTTATAGCCATGCAGGTGTAGGATGGGAGTAGAGGTATCAAAAGGTAGTCTTATTTCATAAATTCAAAATTAGGTTTTGCAAAAATTCGCTCCACTAACCGATAACATTACATGTTAAATATCTAACGAATAATTAAAGTAATATTTAAACACATAAAGATGACGCCACCGAAACGACGCATTTGATTTTCCCAACAACACAAGTGATTACTCCATCAACACTATCCCAACTACACGAATTATTATTCATCCATTTGAAAGAAAACAGCAAGCCAAACCAATAGTGGAGGATGTTCATATATACGGGGGAAAGATGCCAAAAGTAGACCCCACGATATCAGACCCGCCCGGCCCCCCCCCCCCTATGCACTTATGATTTTATTTAATTTTTATTATTTTAGTGTTTTCAAAGGAAAAAGAAACTGGAAAAAGCAAAGGCTGTGTAGGTGAACTGGTGAAGCAAGCAAACGACACACATCCAGAGACAGAAAGAGATAGATAGAGAGAGAAAGACACAGTCACACAGAAGAGAGAGAGAGAGAGAGAGATTGATTAGGAACCTGCGCCGTCAGGCTTTTGACGGCTTCTTTTGTATTTGGGGTGCCGCTGCCACGCGCTGCTCCTTCTTCTCCTCCATCGTCCGTTTGCTTCGTACATGCTATGCACGTAAACATCCTTCCTGCTCCTCTCTTTTACCTTTTTACCCCTGAACAAACCACGTAATTTCAGTTTAGTACATGAAATTCACAAATTACACTCACATGAAAACAAAACAAAACAAAACAAATTTCTCTCTTTTTTTGACGGATGGATAAAGGGGATGGAATGTCCAAGCTGTATCTTTTGCAACAAAAAAGACAAGGTGTGGCTAATTACAGTAATACCCTAGAGGTAAGGAATTTAAACGGGGGCAATTGGGACAATTTACTGGGAAATAGAACAGTCCGCGTGCGCTGCTGAGTGTTTTTTTTTGTTTTTTGTTTGTGTGGAACATCCTTGGAATTGGATGGACTGCAATCCTCAGAGAGTTTTAAACAAAATAATAGAAGGGGGCAAAAAGTTGACGAGCGCTCTTCTCGTAATAGAATAGATAGATAATAGTTGCGAAAACCAAACGAGTAACTGCCCGCCAAAAGCCCAAAACTTGTTTGGTTGGCGAGAAAATGTGAGAAAATACAAAGGAAAAATAAAAACAAAAAGAAGGAGAAATATGAGAGCAAGTGTGAAATGCAAGGATTCGAGTTGTTTATTCTTTGGTCCTTGAATTCTCCCCAGGAAACAAATGGGACCAAAGAAAGAGAAAGAAGAACAAAAAAAGTGAAAAAGGAAAAGAGCTCGGGATCAGAGAACAAGACCGAGAAAATCCCTTAAATATAATGAGTCAATAATTGAAAAGAAGCCAAAAAAAAAAAAAAAGGAGGGGAAAAATGGAGTAAAAATCGCAATTCAAAACTTCAAAGTGGTCTCAAAACTCAATTTTCCTTCAGTGTTGGGGAACACCGAGTGATACGAAATTGGATGGATAAGATTGATTTTAGAGGCTCTAACGATTGAAAAAATCAAATCTAACCGTTACAACACTCGTAGTAATACGTGCAATGAAGCTTGAAACCGCATTCTTAATATTTTTTGTTTAATAAAAAAATCCAAATAAATTACAAAGAAAGAAAGTAATGACAACATTTGTATTAGGCAACAAACCAAATCAATTTCTTCCATTTATCTCTCTCTTCCAAATTTCTTTCCTTTTATGTAAAATCTCGTCGACAATTTGTAACTTTGTTCCTCCAAAACTCCAAAGGCAACTAGAGAGAGAAAAAGAGGAGAGAGAGGGAGCAGCACTCTGAATTATTTATTTTATTTTATTTTTTGGAGGGGAAGGGACAGGCGTTGGGGTATGAAAGCGGTGGTTGCATGGACAAAGAGACAGAAAATAAATTGAAATAAATAAAAAAACTTGAATGTCATTATTATTCGACAGCGACTTACCGAAGCAAAACCCGGCTCTGCTTTTTGATCTTGTCCCCTCTTCCTTCTTCCAAGTCCCCCTTCAACCTTCAGCTTCACTACCGAACAGAAAAGTAAAAACAACAGTCGAAATCTCACTCCCCTGTCTGAATGGACCGGAAACACAATTAGAAAAATGTGGTGTGGGGAATTCAAAATTCTCAAAAACAAAATAAACTTTGAATACAATTCTAGCAGCGTCCCGGAGTTGCATGGTTCATCAATTACCTTTCCGACGCGGGATCTGGATCGCACCACAGAGGCTAAACGGGCGGACCGGCTGCCGCTGTGGCCGATTGGGTCTTCAATCACAGCCTGAATTCGTTTGGCGGCTCTCAGTCTCAGCCCATCCTCATCCCCATGTCAATGGAATGGGCATTGATCATGCTCCTCATGGTATGACTCGAGCAAGTTGCAGCAGGCAGACTGGTGGCTGGCCTTCAGCTTCAGAGAGAGAGAGAGAGAGAGAGAGAGAGAGAGAGAGAGAGAGAGAGAGATGGAAAGAGAGACCCTGTTTTCTCTCTGTTTGGAGGCGTACGGGAAATGAGAAACGGGAAACGAAGAACGAAAGAGAACAACAAAGGCTCCTGTAATTTTTTGGAGGGTGTCTTTTATAGACATCCCAATGTACCGAATCCACACCCTCTTAACTTTTTGTTCTTGAATTTCCAATTATACCCTCATTTGGTAAATTTAAATCAAATACAAATACTGAGTTGGACTTGGGTTGTACTAGGAAACAAAATTATCTAATTTAAGGAAAAATATTAAGCCCAACTCAATGGTTCACAAACTTTACTAGAATATCTTTAACAGCGTAGCTAAATGAGATATTTTTGCTATTTAAAAAAAAATGTAGAAAAATTAAGCTCCAATTGGCTAGCGAAATGACTAGCTAACTTAACTTTGTGAACAGTAACTAGCTAGATTTAGTTAAGATGAGAAAGAAAGTTAATTTTAGCTAAATATTAGAAATTATAAAATTGCATTGTTTGTGGACCTCAAGAGAAAAAAAAGGACTTGGATTGTTAAGTTTAGGGAAAAATGATACTAAAATAGTTAGTATGGTTGAAAGTGGTGGCTCGCCAAATAGGTTGTGATTGCAAAAGGTGTAACTAGTCTCATCATTGAAATAGACTCTCTATCTACTATTATTTTGCTCAAGCAAAATTTATCTGATAAATTTCGTCCTCTTTATACAATTGTGACCAATTGTATGATGATGATGAATAGTTCGGTCATATGTCATTGAACCGTATTTTCATTACGTGAAAATGTATTGATGATTAGATGGCGAAGTGGAGTTTCAATATTGATTTGGGCAGCCTTGTTTTTCATGATCCTCTGCTTGGATTGCGTCTGCTCTTATGAATGATGTGCTTGGTATTTATAAAACGAGATATGTTTGTTCTGATACTTTCAGTTAGTTAGACTATCTCCAACCCAAGGGTCTAGAGGGCCGAAAATAGCCCGAAAATCATCTCCAACTGAGGGCCAGGCCAAAGGGCTTGTGGGCCCCACTAGAAAAAAGGGCCAAAAGGCCAACCGGGCGGGCCCTGGCTGGGCCATATCCTGACGTCATATTTTATTTTTTTTAATAGTTTTTATTTTTTATTTTTTACATTAAGTAACATGAAACAACATTAAACAATATTAAACAACATGAAGTAATATTAAACAACATAAAAAAATTAACAACATGAAACTTGAACAACATTTTTAAAAACATTTAACAACATGAAAATTATTGACAATCCATAACATAAAATTATTGAGGTAATTTGATTTAAGTAACCATAGTAATTCAATTAAAATAATAAATTACGTTTGGCTCTATATCCCTTTGGCCATTGTGACAAGGTTATGCTTGGTCTGGCCCTCGATTGGAGACGGTAAGAAATATGACTCTGCACTGTTCATTAAAATATTAATTTCTTGGAGGACCAAATGGCTAAACCAAGCCCTTTGACCCTCCTTCGGTTGGATATGGTCTTTGGTTATCTAGGTTTTTTCCCCCTGTTTTTTCTTTTTTTTTTAAAACAAAGTGCTATTTCATTCCTTCAAATATCATCTTCGATTTTCGCAAATAACATGGTCAAATGATTTCCGTTATGTTAGAGATAAGGTTGTTCAACATGTTTTAATGATTGCATATGTTCCTTCTAAACATCAGTTACCCGATATATACACACAAAGTGTTTGTCCTCCCTAACCATTCACCAACATGGTGTCTAATTTCCCTTGCGTTCTTGTCCTAAGAAATGTTCTCTTGGTCACCCTATAACCAAGGATTGTATGATCACTCACCATTGAATTTGATATCAAATGTAGAAAGACTACGTGAAAGTAATTTTAATGTTTTAATTTGAATCATTGATATCAAATCCGAGGTTAGTTAACTATGAGAATTAAACTCTTCTTGCCCGTTAGACTTCATCAGTGTAAATAAAGGCTTATTCTTCTGTCAGTGTAAATAAAGGCTCCTACCTAAACAAGATCATTGTGTATTTATCTTTTGTATTCATGTATTGTCTTGTAATCGCTTCATATCCCCAGCTCGAGTGGGAGTTTTGTACACGTTCCATAGAGTAGAAACTCATAACCTCACTTACATTTGACGTATCGAATCTCTTTACAAGGACCACGACGATGAAGAAGCAAGTAGAGAATTATAATTCGAAGCTAGCTAAGGTCACGAGCACAAAATAATCCGTAGAGAGACAGTATGGTCCAATCAGAATGCACGAGTGAGTGAGTTATCAATAAGATGCGCCGCTGAGTGAAAGGGATCATTCAGCACTGTGGTCTGTTTGGTTACGAACATATCCAAATTGGAATGTTGGAAGATCTTACAATCTTGTCAAACAAACCAACCAACCAACCAAAGATTCTGTTACGTATTTGTCTCATTCAAACGATCTTCTTCTTAAAATTTCCTAGTCACTGAGTTTTCTCTATTTCATTTTTCTCTGGGTCTGACCGAAACGGCATTGTATATGCATTTTCATGCTGCAGCTGCTACTGCTGCTGCGTTTGAGTCAGAGGGAAAATAGTACGGACATGAGACAATGAAGCACTCTAAACCGGCTGGGACCGGTGACTAATCGGTCTTGGGAAGAGAGTAAGTTCTCCCAGGAGAAGAGAGAGATAATATATTACTGGCTGTTGTCGGTTGTCAGATGGCATGCATGGGTGTTGGTTTTGGGTTCCTTTGGTTTTAGGGTTTCTATATATTTGGTGCTTTGGCAATATGGCCAAGGAAGCCATATGCTTTAACTTTAACCAGCTTCTGCATGCTGTATATTGTCACTCGGTTGCTTTATTCCTGGGGCTAACCTCTCTTTAAGCAAAGAATGCTTGCTTGGAACATACATAGGGACAATCAAAACCCAACTCTCTCTCTCTCTCTCTCTCTCTCTCTCTCTCTCTCTCTCTCGATAGCAATGAACATATAGAGCACGAATACACCGTCACACTAACGTTCTGTATCAATAAATAAAGAATGTGACAGTATATATCCGTGTCATATAAGTTATTGTCTACATATTCTTATTTCATTGGCACAGAATGTCATGTGATAATATAGATGTGCCATATAAGTTACTCTATATAAATAATGAGTTTTTGTATTGCATTACATGCCCATGTGTCATGATTTAGAGATCAAAGCTTTTTAGTTAGTAAGTAAAGAGAAAGAGGTTGCCTCCTTCCAAGATCTTGTTGAGAAAGAAAAGCATAGTCAAGGTCCACTGACGGACCACACAGCTGAGCTAGCCATTCCTCTCTGGCCTCATCTTGTCCATCCTTCTTGTACTTGTACTGTGAGTCTGTGGCTTGGTCGTCTGGGAAGCAAATTCAAAACTATGTCTCAAACTTTTATTACAACTTTGTTATTTTGTCACTACTCTTTGTCTACTCTCTATGTGTGGGAGCAAAAGAGAGCTATTCTGTCACATATGATGTTCCATTTGTTTCATGGCAGTATTCCTTAATCTTCATGAAATGTACAGATGATCATCGTGAGTTAATTATTGGGGCGCCGAATGTGTACAAATTTAATACTGTGCAACTAATATTAGTAAATGATTTTTTTTTTCACTTAATAAATAAGGTTTTTATTAGCTAAAATGGTCTGTAAAATTGTCATAATTCTTCATTTTGGTCTCTGAGATTTAATCCGATATGAGTGATCCCTGAGATTGTCTACTGTCAATCATTTTGATCCGTCAGTGAAAACTCTCATTTAAATTGAAGAAACCACCAATTCAAGGGAAGAGGTTGATTTGACAGAAATACACTCAATTTAACAAGTATTTCCACAGAAAAACCAAAATAATTGACGGTGGACAATCTCAAGAACCATTTCTATCGATTTTAAATCTCAAGAATAATTTTAAATGAAAAGCCCAAATAGTATGAGATTTTGCATTATTATATTTTATTTTTCATATTGTTTTGCTTGTTATTCAATCGTGAATTGAAATGACTCCAACACAAATTAAAAAGGGTAAAGCAAAACACGACACATTTACCACTTATCATTGTCCAAATCATGGGAGACCTCTTGTTGCATAGTACAACTACAAAAAAATTCATCGAATCATACAAATGAGGCAACCATTCTTGACTTCCTAGCTAGTTTCTACACCATACCACTTTTCTCTTGAACAAAGATTCTTGGTATTATTAGCAGTGAAATCAATTCCACGTAATTCATGCAAATTAAAAAACAAGTTATGGGAGTAAATCCGGTAATTCAGACACGACAAGGAACCAATTAGTTGTCCAATACGTACAGTTAATGTGGTAAGTAGGTTACTGAATTTTTCAAAACCCCTCTCTCTCTCTCTCTGTCAAAAAATTAAAGAAAACAAAAGGAGAAAAAACAATAAGGAGAAAAGTATATGATGATACATGAGAAGCATGGTCGTGGACAAGACCACCTTTAACGTTAGGAATGTTCTGTTTTCAAGTTTATAATAATGTACTTGGAAAAGGGGATTATAAAGCCATTCAGCGATCCTCCCCAAAGTAGATCTCCATCGCAATCCCCAACCCTTTTCCTATTTCCAATGTTTGATTACATTGATTAACTCTACATTTCTTTTGAATTTGAACATTACTTACTCCAATGTATATATCATCACTCTCCAATATGCTTGGATCGTTTTGTTGATCCTTTTTTCTTAACGGGTCTTGGTATAGTCTCCCGTTTGTATTTTATCTATTTACTTTCATTAGTAATAAATTTGGTGGGGGAGGAACGGACGGGGGGTTTACAGGTGTAATGGTCCTCTCAACTTTGAGGGAGGGTAGGTGCCTTCGCATGTGATTGTTGCCGAAAAGCTAATCTCGCCTAATCTTTTTTTAATTTGAAAAAAATAATATAAAATCCTAAAAAATATGGGGTATGCAAATAAATCTGATGTTAATACATTAGATGTTGGATGTTTTTGAGACGAGAGATTTTCTCCTGAAATCGCTGACCACACCTGACAACTACCAAACAGATGAATGATGTATTATTTGAATACATGACAATCATCTATGTAATATGTGGTGCTACTGAAACATTATATTAGTTTCAACAATATATTATTTGAATACATGACAATCATCTATGTCATATGTTCGATTGATAACATGTTTTGTTAATTCCAACAATTTTTTTTCAATACCGTATAAAATCCCAACTCCGTCCCCGTAGGTTTCTTAATTTATGAAGCAAGTTCCAAAAGAAACAATAGTTTGTAATAAGAAAAGATTAAAAATATTTCAAAATTGACTGTACGAGTAAGAAGACGATGCTACAACGATGACTCTAAATTTAGTTGTAACTTGTACTTGTGTGCTTAGTCCTTTTTCGATCCACCACCACGAAGGGACTGCCAAAATACAGGCCAATTTTTTTGAGCTTCAGTCCAACCCAAGAGGGAGCCTTCCCTCATAGGATCCCAGCTGGAGGACACAATCCCATAGCTGACCCCCAATAGGGCTGTCCCAAAGAAGACAAATGACACAATGAAGGGCACCCACGTGGGAACATCAATTTTCAGACCAACTTTCAAATAGTAAAAGAAAGAGAAAAACAAGAGGCCCAAAAATAATGGAAGCCCAACTGTGAAGCCCATCCTTCCAATCATCCTGTTGGTCACGATCTCTGGTATCACTCCTTCCTCTCCTTCCTCCTCATCTTCATCTTCGTCGTCGTCGTCATCGTCGTCGCTGTCATTGTTTCCCATCTTCTTCGGCTTCTCGGTAATCTTTTTCTTTTTCCTTGGGGAGGGTCCAAAGCCTCTTGGGCTTCTCAAGGTGGCATTCAAGTGTTTCTGAGTATTTGGGCATTGTTTTGTTGCGGAGATTGGGTACTGGATTTTTATATCCTCTTTTAAACTGCTGGTGATGGAGAGGCTCCAAGGCTTAGCGTCAACCTGCAAGGGAAATTTTAAAGATCAAAACTTTACGAGCAAAAGACTTCTTTTATTCGAGCGATATTCTAATTCAGTATAAATTGCAGAAAAAGATTCAAACTTAGGTGCGAGTGACAAATCTGTTATAATTAAGTTAAATTACACAAAAACAAGGTGAAAACAAGCTGCAGTTTCCATATTTTTGAAATACAAATACTATTTTCCCTTTCCTATTTTATTCTCTATTTATTTATTTTTACTAATATATTTTTTCAGTGATTAGGGGTTGGGGGCACATAAAAATAAAACATTTACTGCCATTTTTCAGTGATAAGAACCTCAAACAATCCAAGAAAAACTACATAATCTACTGCATTTATTCTTTTTCTTTCTGAATCAAGTGAACATATATTGTGTACCTACACAAGAGAGAGAGAGAGAGAGAGAGAGAGAGAGAGAGAGAGAGAGAGAGATGGTGATACCTTATTAGGTGATGATGATGGTGATGATATTTGGTGCTGGGAAGGAATCAGGGAGGGCTTGGATGATGACCATGAAGCGAGCCCTGCTGCAATTGCAGCCATGGGATTGGTAATTGAAGCTCTGGTTTAGAAACAGCAAAGAGCATTTACCATGGCGGGGATTTGAAGGGCCACGAAGTATGACAACATGTTGGTTTGCAGAAAGGATAAGGTTAGCCATATAGCACTTGCGGGTCCGTGGTGATTTAAAGGCCGTTGGATTCCGCACATAACATCTAATACGTTGATGAGTTTTTTATTTTTTTATTTTTATTTTTTTCATCTTCTTTTTTCTGAAAATAGCAGCGTAATTACTTTTACATTTTCATAAACATTTTGAAGTCTGAAAACATAAAAAATAGGCAATGACAGTATGGTAAATAAATTGAATTTTGGTGCTACCGATAACAGTTTTTCAAAAGTTCTTTAGATGAATGAATAAATTTTTTTAACATTATTATTTTAAAAAATGACATTGTTTTTTCTTTACAAACTTCAGTTTATTTACGATGATGTCACTTTTTTTATTTTTTCCTTAATGTTAATAAAATTCTATTAAGTGTTTTTCATTAAATTTTTATTTTGCTAAGCCATTTTCATTAAACTCCCATCTAATTTTTTCGAAGACCAAAGCATTTATTTAGTATCGACGAAACCACTAACAAATAAAGGAGTCAATGGCCACCAAAGGAATAAGAAAACCACACGTTCAGGAAATCCGATTCCAAGTAGTGCTTAAACATGAATCAACTTTACAACCCTAAAACATACATCGATCAAGTATCCCGAGCTCTCCAAATGTTGTTTTATTCGAAATGCCACAAGTTATCATAGAATACGTCATCATAGAACGTGTTCTGTGATTGAGATGCACCAAACTGCTGATCGTATCCGGATGATGAAGCAGAAGCACTTGCTGAAATTGGACACTCGAGATAACTCGGCTGCATTGTCACAGAGAGGGGATGATCGTACTCGTACAAAACAGTACTCAGAGGAAGCGCGTCGATGGGGTTAGGGTTTTCAACACTTGGAACAACTGCTTGTTGTTGCCGCTGTTGAGATGCAGCACTTGAAAATATTGAGTCGTACATGCATGGTTGCTGCTGCGTGGGATTATAGAAAGTTGCATTCTCGTCCATATTTCCATACGCTGCAGAAATATAATTATTGTTAAAGATCTGATCATGCTCCCACGTAGATGTTTTGCAGTTGGAGTTCGAAGCAATAGCTGAAGGAGTGTACTGAATGTTGCTGTTGGTCTGTGATGTGCTTGCAAATTGAGTCCAATCATCATTCATCATCATTGAACAATAACTGGGTTTTTGATCAGATAATCCAAGCATCTGGGAATACTCTTGGTTGCTTTGAAACATGGCCTGCACATTATTGATGGTGCCAAGGATTAGATGGGTTTGGATTTGATAACAGTAGATTTAAACGTATGACATTGCACGGATAAATGGATGTCAACTTTCAAAATTTGTGTAAGTTGTAGGTCGAAGGTGGATTAGTCATGAAACCCTTCCAATGTACACGCAATTGGTAGGATGATTAATTTCCTTTGTGGCTAATCCATCTTATACCTTGAACTCATACAAAATTAAAAACAATGCATACATTAAATTTAATAAATACATAAATTAAATTCAATCGAATCCTAAACATGCATCAGATGATGCCCTAAGCACAAAAAAAAAAGAAAAAAAAGAAAAAACAGAAATTCGTCGAAAAATACCTAAAGAAATACAAATGGCAATTAGAGGCACTCACCATTGGTGGTATAATCTCTTGCACAACAATTTGCTTTGATTCCTTCATCGTGCTATGCATCTCATGAGCAGCTACAATTTTGTTCTCCAAATTTCTCAAAAGGTCAAGCATTTGCTCTGCTGAAAACGCATTGAAACGATCATCCCATGCAGGATACTTCTCTTCACAAATCTTACTACGCAGTTTCCCAATCTCTTTCTTCACTTGAACCGTTTGCGTGGCATAGAAGTCACCCAAACTTTGAACTCTCTTTACTTTCGATGAATTCGATTTGTACTTATCAATTATTTCCTTGACATCTTTAAATTCCTTAGGAAAAGTTGCTGCTGTGCTCAGTTTTCCCTTGGATTTCTTCTCGTAAACGATAGTACACACCTTCACATCACAAAGTGTTTTCAAATCACCTGCCTTCTTCAACAATCCATTTCTTCTCTTTCGAAAAGTAACCTTGCGCGAACTTTCGTTCGGTATTAGCTCTAAAGGTAACTTTGATTTGCGTCGACCCATGATAGTGTAATTTTTCAAACCTGATGAGATAAAGAGTTAATCCGAGAAAATAAGATTTATTTTCATACAATAGAGTAAAGAACAAAAAAAAAACTAAAAGATAAGATCAAAGTAAGAACAGTAAACAAGTTTAGGTCGACACATATAAAGTCAATATGAACAGTAATCCGTTAATCAAGTTTAGGACAAATCTCATAACCGATTAGTCTTCCTTCTTATTATCCCTTAATCAAGTTTAGGAAAAAAATTACAACACTAAGACACTATGTATCAACTGAACTAATAACTACATTTAAGGATGAATAATACCTTAATTAGTCTTGAAATCTTGATGGCGTCTCTTCTCACTATTTAGGGTTAGAACTTAGAACCGATTCAAAAAAAGGGGAGGTTTAGGGTTCTTTAGATTAGGTTAGATCGAATGCAGATAAAAAGGAGGATTATGGTTCTTTATATAAGAGAAGAGACAGCGCCTTCATCTTATCACAAAGAGGTAACAAAATCGTACTGATGATTTTTTTGTTTTACTTTCTTTACTGATACGTTGTTAATTGATCAAAATCACCACAAAAAATCTAATTAGAGATACCGAATCTCCATTCCTTCCTATTTTCAGCCAGCATTAATTAAGAAGAAAGTTTTTGTATTGTTTTTTCTCTTTCCTTTTTTACGAAGGTGTTCTGATAAACGATTTTGTGCAAAAAGGAAGACAACTGTTAGCAAGCACGGTTATCCAACATTTTCGTGCTCGGAGAGGCTATCGGGAATTTTGACCTGTCCGTGGCCATAATCAAACAGACTCACCAGTTCAGAACATCGAACCCAAAACCTCTCACATTTTTTTATTTATTGGAGAGCTGCTGTCTATGCATTTGTGCTCATATTTTATTGGTGACACATAATTTAGTTTGCAAATTTTGTCTACAAATTTGGTCTCCCTAACATTACTCTTTGTTAAAATCCAATATGAAATAGGTCACAGATATGCCAATCAGGATTCTAGGTGCAGAAAGATTTGAAAAATCTTAATTTGACTAGAATATGATTTTTTTTTTAATTTTTTTTATCAAACAATAAATTTTAATAAATTAGATGTCAGACTAGAACATGATTTCTAAATCTTTTAAAACCCTTCCTTAAAATCTTAATTAACTACAACTAAACTTTAAATTTATTAAAATACTATCAAATTCTTATTTGACTCTAGTATATAGGAAAAAGTAAAAGTCAACTAAAGTTGATCTCTGGAAGTAGTCCTCTTCCATAATAGTGAAAGAAGAGTATTACTCTTGCATTGTAATGTGGATTCAAACCCTATGAGCTTTTTAATTTAACGTTTAATTTAATATTTATATTGTTTGATAAAAAAATTAAAAAAAAAAAAAAAAACCTAAAATTGGTCTTTGACCAAAATAAAAAAAATAAAAAAATATAAAAAAACACCTCTAGCTGGTATGATATGAAGAATTAAGCGAGCTTAGCTACGCATAAAGTTAAACCATCGAAAACTAATTGAAAACTTTTTATGTTAAAAATTGACAAATACGTCCATATTTGCAGTAGCCTCCATATCTATCTCAGTCTCAGAGCTCAGTCTCTCTCGCAGAGAGACCCATAAATACCCAGAAATTCATAAAAATACCCAGAAGATTGGGTGGTAATGATCATAAAAGGAGTGTTCAGGAGGTACGAAAGATGGAACCCAGTGCATCCAACGAGTGGAGCGTTTTGGGGATTGGGTGTAGGCATTGGTTGTGGGGTTGGATGGGGTCCTGGTTTCGGGCCTGAGGTAATTGGTTATGTCGGAGCTGGCTGCGGTCTTGGCTTCTCCGTCGGTTTCACTCTGCTCGGTGCCGGAATCGGTCTCCCTGCCAATTGGCTCTTTCACCTTCCGTATAGTGGTTGGTATCTCCTTTTATTTTCAATCTCTACTTTTTCTTTTGAGTGCAATTTTTATGATTCGAGCGATATTCTAATTTAATCTAATCTAAATTACGAGGAGAGTGATTAATGCTACTCCCTTTTAACTTCTGTATTTGCTTGTTTTTTCATTAGTGATGTGATGTGGATGTTTTCGAGCGATATTCTAATTAATTTAATCTAAACTACGGAGAGCGGGATTCAGTTCTGACATAGCTTTTTATTTATTTTTTCAGCTGTTATGGCAGCAAGAAGTAGTGCACTGGAGATTGGCCAATCTAGTGGCTTTCCTTTCCCCAAAAGCATTGCAGGGGAGGGCTGGAACAGCATTGCACCTTGCATCACAAACCTGCAAAGGGAAGCCGGTGGAAGATTCTCTAGCTTTAAGGACCAGCATCTCTTGGCCTTGGAGAAAGGGGTAGATTTATCTGACTTGAAGAGCCGCCTAAGCGTCGGTACTAGGTCTCTTTCCCAAGGTGTAGAAGCATTTCGCGGACGCTTCTTCCACTTTCCCAAAGGTATATATGCCCACACACACCTCTTGCATTGTAGTTAACGGTTAACGTGTAACTCTCTGTTATTGGTTTTATTAATGCCTCCATTGCGGTAGTTCTTTTGTTAAACCATCCAATTTGAACTGCATTAAGTGAAAAATTAAGAAAGAAAGAGTCTGACTTCATAGCACATGACAATGTTATTACGGCTACACAATACCCTGGAGGACCTTAAGGACCAGTTTAGCGCATGGGTTTGTTTAGTCTTATACTGTGTTTAGTTCTATCTTGGACGGGAGAGCTTAGTCTGAAGCAGGGAAGACAGTCCCATGTTTACTGGACTACAAGTGACCTATAGGCGTTGTTTGGTATCAAGGGTTGGATTGGAATGGATACGCCTCTAATTCAAGGCATAATAAAGTTAGAGGAAAGTGATTTTCCAATTTGAGGGGATAGAAATTTAGAAGGGGATTTGACATGAATGAAACTTCTCCCTTGATCCTACCATATTGGGGAGGATTGGGATGGATAAGTTTTCGTCTCGAGCAATCCATCTCCTACCTCGGACTTGGTCTTCCTTCGACATACCTTGAAAATAATATCTTATCCATTCCAATCAATCACCTATACCATACGCGACCATATATTCTCCAAAGGATTGGTTTTGTCAAATTCTAAAAGGAACAAATTCTCTCTGTCATCGTACCTCAGTCAGTACAACGATTTAAGTTCAAACGATCAAACCCGAAAAGTGGTAATTGATGATTGCCTGCTTGCTGTCTAGTCATTTTACTGGTTAGCTGGCAAGCGGGCAATGCCATTTTCTCACAAACCAACAGAATGGCCTGCTATGGATGTTTGATCTGCTTGCAGACTGGCTTTTTATATGTAATGTAATCTGCCAAAGAAAACCCTTATATTTGAAAATGTGTGTGTTAGGTTTTGGTTGATCCACATGTTATAGGAGTGAATGGACTTAATATCTGTCCTCTGTTTGGCTAATTCCTGATGATTTCTAAACGACAATCATATTTCATTGTGGAACAGAATTATATAAGTCACACGAGAGGATGGAAATGATAGTATCTCGAGACGTTTTCAACCATCTTACTTGTAAGAATTTAGACAGCTAAGATGAAACATTATCAGCTTTTTTTCGTACAAAGAAAACTGAGATATGCCCGATACACAAACTTTGTCGATAACAAATTGTTCTCGCCTCATTCTTTCCTTTAGGTTCCCTCCAAGATACTGCAGCTGAGGTTATTCTGATTGCTTGAGAAGTTTTAAGGATTTTTCAGAAGCTTGGCAATGGATTAATACCAAGCCGGCTAAGAGTGACATAATTGCCACCCTTTTTCCGATTTCTACACCCCTTATTTTCCCACCAGCACTTTGATCACAAAGTCTTGAAATACAGAGGGATGGCATTTGCATTTAGCTGTCCTTTGTGATGTAGTTCTCATTCAATCACTGATGTATTTGGTCGGTATCTTGTGTAGGCCCAGTAAATGTCTCGTTAGACCTGATTTCGATTTGCTTGGTCCGCTTTCTATTTTATTTGTTCACTCTTGGAAGAAAAACAAAATAATATATCCGCGTTCCTTTGCTTTCAGGTACAAAAGATTAACAGCGTGGAGAGTTGGATTGTCTGGTGGATATACTATAAGGATTTTAAGCATTCTTACACTGAATCGTCTCTTTTTATTATCATCCTTGATGTAAATGAGAAACCTGGGAGGAAGGTTCCATTTAAGGATACTTTGGTTGCAGCCTTTAGAGGAGCAGCGCTTCTATAGTACTGAGAAAACCTTTGTTTCAGTAGTTGTGCAGAAGACCTTGTTTTATTACTTGTGCAAATTCCTGAACCAGGTAATCTACCTCCAATAGTTTCCAACACGAATTTATCTCTTGTACCAACTTCAAATGTGCCATAGGTCTTGCAGTCTTCATTCTCAGTTTAGCACTCCGAAATAGTCATCTTGCACTCCTCCTTCCGTTATTCTTTCTTTAGAGAGGAGCCCGAGATGATTATTTTGGCGTTCCAATAATAGCTCTGTATATGGGTTTGTGAAACTCAATACATTTGAAGCCGATCATGGAGTTTATCACTTAAAGTCTTCTCTTGATGCATTTCTTACACGTATCAGCAGTCTGAAACGGTGTTCTACATTGCGATAGCTGATTACATACGCTATGCTATAGCTTAAGCATCAACGAGTTGTCGCGTAAGCATTTGGAAATAAACGAGAAATATTATGATGACGAAGCATGTTCAACGATTAATGCAAAACCAAAGTAAAAAAGAAAAACCGAAGAAGATGGATGAAAAGACATGAGGAGGGATTCAACTGCGGAGAATAAAGAGAAGGAACCTGAAGGTGCTGTTGGTGGCGTCCACGTCTGTATTCACTGCTAGGCAGAGATGCTTCCTCAGTTATATCATTAGACAAAACCCGTGGCTGCCAACTCCATGGACGTTTAAGCCCATCTCTTGTCATGACGAGATGCCGGAGAAGGTAGTGGATTTAATTGATGCTAATACCGGTGCGGAGAAGGAGTCTGGTTGAACGTTGCTTTGGCCAGGATGAAGCTTCTCAGATTTGGAGCATGCCATTGAGCATATTGGGATGCGAAGAATGGTTCTTTCAGTCCAATCGGGATATAAGGTTGCACAAGAACTTAGTAAAAATGGGGAACTTGAACGAAAAGGTATGGGGGAGTCTAAGTTACGCCATTTCATGTGGCGATGTTGTAAGAATGTGTTGGCTGTGAAGATAAATCTCCAACGACGAGGAATACGACTTCCGACTAATTGTGCTCTCTGTGATCAGATGGAGGAGTCTCAGTGCCATCTATTTCTTCATTGTCCATATGGGAAGGTCTTTTGGTTTGGTAGCCCCATTCAACTCGATTCTAGTATGGTTCGGGGTGGAGATTTTTATGAATGTTGGAATTGGCTTGTTAAACAATAAGCACATGAGAAGGACTCTGATGAGATTAGTAGGTGGCTAGTGTTTGGGCTTTGGAGGCTTTCGAAGTGTAGAAATACCATGGTGTTTAAGAAAAAATTAATACATCCGATTGAGGCTGTGGAGCTGCTGCGTCAACAACGATGGGAGTATGGGGAGATGGAGGAATGGGTAGAGGCAAGGGTTGATGAGCAGCGGCGGCCTGTGACCACTCCCATGGCTGTTGCGAAGTCCTCGTGGGAGCGCCTTCCTTTCCGTATTGTTAAGATGAATTGCGACGGTGCATGCAGGAAGGAAAAATGTGGTTTTGGGTGGGTGGCAAGGAACTTTGCCGGGATTTTCCGTGCTGCTGGTGGGGTTGGAAATAATCCTTGCGCATCTAGTTTGATGGCAGAAGTGGATGCAGTTAGGGCGGCCCTTGTAGCTTTTATGGAGAAAGGGTTTTTTGATGCACAGGTGTTGGGGGACTTTTAGGTCGAGGTGGATTTGGGCCTTGAGAACGTTCTCTTGTCTTCCTTGGTGCGGGTTCGCAACGAGTCCCGGGATATCTCGAAAGAGATAGCTTGTCTTAGGAAATACCCTGATAACATTAACTGCTCGAAGATAGCATGAAAGATCAAGATAATGACTTGCTAGTGAAGCGTGATGTGGAAGCTAGAAGATTATCAGTTTACATGCGAGAGAAGGTTTGCATGGTTGCATGGCATTCTTAGCTGCATGATTTGGGCTTTCTTAGGGTGATAGTAAGGCTTCTAATGGTCGAGATGTTTGATGGAAGGTCGTGGAAATTACTAAGGTTGCATGGATGGTGATGCTTGAGGCTTGGAGTAAGCTTTTGGACTAAAATGGAACTCTATAGGTTTCTTCCTAGGTGGTTTTATCTTACTACGTTTTCTCTATTTCTCTCTATGTGTTTCTCTGAATCCCTCTCTAATGGTTTTTCTCCCTCCTTATGTAGGTGAAGGGTTCTTCTCTAGATTTCAGGGGAATATCCCTTTGTGGCTTGGTTTTCCCTCCCTTTCTCCCTAGCTATCCCATTATTCCCCTTTTGGTGTAAACTAGATGCACTGTTGAGACCTGCAAATTGCTTCTTCCCGAGATGTGGCTTTCCTGGGACGGCCTTCCGCAGGCGCTAAATCTGGTAGCGCGCTTTACGGCTTTTGCACATTGGATGTCTGTGCAGGCTAGGAAGGGAAAATCAGCATTAAATGCCTGGTTTGCTAGGCTTGTCATGCATTTAACGCAAGAATTTAGTTTAATCCCTACTAATGGAATTGGCCTACTAGGGAAAGGGATAAACTAGGCTAATTCTCTCTCAATGATGTCTGTGTGAAATACAAAGGGTATGGGCTTGGATCTTTGAGCTCCTAAGCAGCCCAAAGTCTTCCATGACCCCAATTTCACATAGGCCCGATAACCTTTCGTAACCATCAACATCACAATTCACTTGGCAAGCCCCAATTATGTGACTTGGGCTTAGCATGATTTGTGGCTAAGGAAGCATGGCATGATGAATAGGCATGAGCATGGCGTGGCATGACATGTTTGTGAATACATTCCTCATCAATCTTGTGCCTTGGCCCGTGTTTGGGCTTGAATGTAGGCTTTGCAGGACAATTGGGCATTGAGACTTGGTTGGGTTGGTATGTGACATTTTTAGACCTCAACAACAGGTCATCTAACTCAAAAAATCTTATAGGGATGATTAATGGTACTTTGCAACCGGAGGTAATGATTGAAGGTATCCTCTTGGATATTAGACAATTACAACAACAGTTGAGGTTAGTAGAATTTCATTTTGTTCCCCGTGTTTGCAATAAGGCAGCGCATCTAGTGGTATCTTTTGTGTTTAAGGAAGGTGGGTTTCATAGTTGGAGTGAGTTTGAACCGGAATGGTTGTTCAACACTCTGACATCTGATGTAAATGTTTCGCTTCGAATTTAATCGAAATTTCTATTGTTTGAAAAAAAAAAAAACAGTTATATCATTAAGTATATAATTAATCCTATGTACATAATTAATGATAAATTAAGCGTAATGCTAGGTAGACTAACTTTTTAAACCAAGTTTGCAAATCATGTGATGTGTCACTAATACAAAATAAACACGTTTATCGATACTTAAATAATAATCTAATCGTCGACAACTACGTCATATGATTCATGAAATTACACCTAAACAATTAGTCTATCGAACATTACCATATATTGATAATAAACGCGATTCATTCGGCAGAACTCAACTATTCATTGCGGTCGGTCTTTCATACTATTTTTTTTTTTAACAAACGATAGCGATATTCTGATTTTTGTTTTTATCGATCAATGCTTTGAATTCGAAGCATGGTATGGGAATGAAGTTGGTGTGTGTTTCAACTTTCAGAGGAGCCTGACAATGGCATGCATAACAGTGAGGAGAGACGGGAAACTGATTCAAACTAGGGAGAGTACGTAGTCAGGTTCCTCTCACGGAAAGTGCTCAAAATGGAATGACAAGCCAGCCAAGGAAAATGTTAGAATGGAAAGGAGCTGGCAAGCGGTTTTTCACCGGCCGAGCCGGGCGCTTCTGAAGCTAGTTCCCTAAGAAACAACAATAGCAAATAACATAGTGGGTGACAAAGCGCATGTCCAAGCATCACAAGAAACCCATAGCAGTCATAAGTGCAACAGCAAACAAAAGCAATATCTCCGGAGTGTGCTATGCTGACATATAAGAGTAGATAGCACAGACATTATTACACTCCAGGAATCGTATAACCAGAATGGTCGAGTGGAAAATACAAACCTAAGAAATTCCAGAAATGCTGACGTCCAGATTACAGGGAAGCAGGAACTCGGCAAAGTACACTACACGGACATGCACGAGAAAGCGCATGTATATCAGCTCCCAGGTTCAAGTATAGGCATCTGCATCAACACATAAATCAAACGATCAATCTTTTCCTTGGTCATGGGGATGGAGGAGGGCATCTGCAAGATGTTCTAGATGAAAATAACGTACCATTGGGTGACTCATCACTCCTTGTGCAATATTTAGGGGTGGCCCCTGCATTAGACATTGACAGCTCAGTCGTGTTTGATCTATGATCATTCAGATGGAACCCCAGATCCCTCGACTTAGGCCACTCATCAAATAAAGGCTGAAGAGAATTTTGTTCGTGTTTTTGAGATCCGGGTAAGCCAAATTCTCCACCAACATACTCCTGTTTGGTGATTGCAGCAGCACCGCTCAATGACTCCATAGTTTGTAATGTCTGTAGCTGAGAGCTGTTGTTTAGCCAAAGAGAACTATTTCTCAATTCTGATTTTAAGGGAACTTGAGGCTCCATTAGACGCCACGGACTGTCTACAGTACTGTGCGCCTGAACACACCTCTTAGCTTCTGACATGAAATTGTGTTCTTCTGATCCAGATCTATTGCACCCCCTGCATTTGCATAAAATTAGCACATCCTTTTGGTTCCTAAGAAATCTGTCTCTAACTGCATATCAAAAACTACTATTTTTAAGTTCTAACCAAAAAGTGACGATTAAAAATCATAACCAATCATGGTGCATCAAAACCTAAAGCAATGTCATGGATGCAATTTAAGAAATAATCAAGCTCAGGTCTAAATAAAATTACCCATCAGCAACTGAATTACACGATGCCTGCAGTCATTGCCAAAAAGCACCATCACCAAAAGGTCCATGGCCATGAGTCATTGGGCATTGACCAGCCCACTTGTGGGTCTGGACTAGCCCATTGGCCCGTTTCAACTAAACTCAATCTTGTAAATTTCTTTCAATTCCTTTCCTCTTATATCCCCCCTAAGATGACCATCACAAACCTTTCATATGCATCAATCACCATAATGATGCAAATATCTTACTTTTAATCACATATTCAATTAAATGATTTTGTTGTTTTGATTCAATAAATTTTATTTGCATAAGAAACAAAACTTAAGAATGGAAAAAGGTAGAGTAAACAACAAATTTGTCCATCTCAGAAAAAGGAACAGAAAGCAAAGGACCATAACATGCCATTGCCAGAATGTATTGTGACCAAATTCTAACGGATTATACCACGGAAAAATATGAGCTAAAAGACGATTCAAAAAGACATGATGATAACTCTTAGCATCTCTAGAAGAAACATCCTGAAAGCAGATGGATTTCAGAAACATCTTCTCTAGCTAGTCCCAAAACCTTAGCTTGCCAAAAACATGTAAGAATCCCAATCACTATACCGTGCCATTTATTTGCAAGTGACACTGCATCCAACATCAGTCTACCTTCAACAAATTGGTTCAGGAGCTTCTACAAAGCTTCAGAGAGTAGGTTAGATAACCAACTTGGCTCTAAGCTCCGCTTCTAGCTAGTTTACGGCCTTAGTTGTTCCCCTATTTTCCTTTTATTTTTTGGTCATTTGGTTTCGTAGATGATCATTTAAGTACTTTGGAGGGATAGAATTTAACAGTTACTTAAGTAATTATGGCCTAGGATGCTAGGGCTACTGCAACCGTAGTGTATATACTCTTTTATGAGGCTTTGTACAGAGTTTTCAGTTTAACAAGTATTTTACTTGTCTCAAAGGAAATATGTACTGGGCATTCTAGAGGCACAGGCTATCTTGGATAAGCTCTCCTCATCCAATGGAGAGGTCTCTATAGTATGATGACGGTTACTTACTGGATGATCATCCGATGTATAGTCAGCTTGTAGGTAAATTAATCTACCTCACTAGATGCTTTATGCCAAAAGTGCTGTAGGTAAATTTATAATGTAACCATGAGTTCCTCGCATGAATCCAGTAGTAATACATATTCTAACATACTACGAACATAGTCCAAGACAACTTGAAGACATCTTTGTATTGGTGGATATATTGATGTAGGATAGGAAAGTTTGTGTAACAAGAAACTGAAAAATAGAAGAGAAACACATTGCATTGCACTCGTTATCAACAGAGTACATGGGTGTTTATAAGACACCAAGACATAAATCTGTCCTAAAGATTCGCCTCAAACTGAGTTAATCATGCAGAATTTAACTATTCAACAATAAACCTCATATTAGCAAATTGAACAATTAGACCTTAATTTAAGCTAACAGACCTAAGTTAGGCTAAACTCCTTAATAATCAACCATTGAACATATTACTAATAATCAGTGTATCAACGACCATACGGATGCTTCTCCACTTTCTAGATTTTCATCAAATAACAGGAAAGAAACTAATGGGTAAACCATTCTGTATAATATGGATAATGACTTCCCAGTGGAATTCAATTTGGAGACGCATCAGTGTTAGAACAGGAGTAAATGGTACAAACATCACAAAACAAGTCAGTTGCTGTTACAGCCACCCAATATCACCCAAGAGCTGCCAAAGTATGCCATTTGACAAAGGGCTAACCAAAACAACTTTAAAAATCACCCAATTTAAATCCATTCATTTTGCAATTCAGAGGAAGAAAAATTCCTAACCCAAACACACTTTAAATATCATTGCTCCTCACTTTGCATGCATGCATCATTCTTCAACGCTTCTATCTTGCTAACTTGTGGAGAGACATGTAACAAATGAAAAAGAAATGCAAATGCACGTGGCTAAAAACATGGTAAAAAGTAGGGAATTTTAACGAAACACTCCCGGTACTGTTCACTTTTAATGAAAAGGCCATTTTTACTCTAAAAAGTCACTTCTCGTACTATTCACTTAAAACGCTTTTATGTCCTTTTGATTAAAACTCAAAGTTTTCAAGCCCTTTTCATTAGTTTTCCTTAAAAAGTAAGGGCCCATTTAGTAACCATTTGGTTCTTAGTTTTCAGTTTTTACTTCTTGTGCTTAAGGTGTGAGGAAAGTATATGGTGAAGTTGAGGAAGAGTAGGGAAGAATGTAAAGAAATGTAAATGAAAAAGGAAACAAAACAAAAACCAAAAATCAAAAGCTATTTTTAAGTTGTTTTCACTTTCAAGATTTTGTTTTCATCCATCTCGTTATTTCTTCCCCTTCCTCGCTCCATCCTTCTTCATCACTCATTTTCCCCATATATATATATATATACCTTCCTCATATCTCAAGCACAAAAAGTGAAAAAAGTGAAACCAAACAGTGATCAAAGGGACCTTAACCTTCTTACAATTTTCAAGCATAAATTTGATGTTAATAACTAACAAGTGAAGCCCCTAACAGTCAAATATACAACCCATCACCCCCCAAATAAGCATATAAGGCTTTCCGGGTCCTCTATTTCTACTTTCTATATCTCTAAGGTGATTATCATAAACACTCTCCATCTAAATCCCCACCTGCAGCTACAAATGTATTGGATAACCTCTTTCCCGTCTTAGGCCTTGTCAGTGATGTTCGGGAAATAACCAACTATTCATAGATTATGTACGAGAAAGACTTCTCGTCCTAGAGAAATAATAGGAATGCAGCGCAAATTCATGAGACATTACAATTCTACCAATACGAAAGTAACCTAAAGGATATACCTGGCTCCCCTGTTAGACACCCCATAGGGTATAGCTTCCATCTTCAACTCAGATCCATTGCCTCCAAAGCATAGGCCTCCACTATTTCCAATTGAGTGTAAGGGCATGGTCTGGAAGCTCCCACCGTGGCTGGAGCTCCCGATCACACTGTCTGACGTCACAGTTGACAAAGATTGAGAGGCAGTTTGTGATTCCACAAGCTTTCTTGAACGATTGCGGCCGCGGTTCATGTGCCGCTCGCAATACTTGGAGTCCTGATATGCATCTTTGGAGCACCTCCATTTCTTGCCATCCGTCCTCCGGCACCGCCCCGGCTCTGGGTCTATCTTCTTCCCGCAATAGGAAGCATAACCCCCTAACATATTGAAAAAAAATCATCTAGCCATACCAAAAATCCAAAATATAACAATACAACATGCATATCACAACAACAATTGCCCGTTAAATTCCGGAATTATAAAAATCAAATCGATAATATAAGAACAAAAAGAGTGGAAATTTGGAGGAGAGAATTACAGGTGGGGTGGTGAGGTAAGAAATTGGGGGAAATGAGGTTGAAACTGGTGCGAATAGGGGCGAGGAGCTCAGAAGGAACAGGGACTCCTGCCTTGAGATACTTGAATATCAAAGCTTGATGCTCCATCTCAGCCCATTGCGCCACTGTGAAGAGCGGCGCGTGACCTCCAGTGCCCACCGACGACCCGCTCATTTCAGACTAAATGCTAACAAAAACATCCAAATCTCAATTAGTCATACTCATACAGAGAGAGAGAGAGAGAGAGAGAGAGAGAGAGAGAGAGAGAGGGAAAGGATGAGGTTACCTTGGAGTTGGAGACGGTGGTGGAGAAGAAGGGTTTTGCCAAATTCGTCGGGAAGCGAGGAAATGAGAGTATCTGGTCTGTGTTTTGTACTCGAGAGAGGCAGAGACTTCAAGTTCAGTCCAAGAATGGTTTTTGATTTTTACCCAATTTCTTTTTGGATTGCGTAACTCAAATCTTATTCTCAAGCACCGTGCAAATTGCAATGCCTTTTAAGCTTTAAATGTTCCATGAAATTAGTATGCCTCCTCACTTTGGTTTGAGATTTTAAATTGATAGAACTAATTTATAGTTTGTTTACAGTCAATCATTCAGATTCTTCCATAAAAAATCTCGGCTAAATAATAAGAAAATGACAAAAATATCTTTAATTTTTGTCAAATCTTGTTGTCTTATTGTTTATTAATTTAAGAGTATTTTTATCTTTATCTAATATAGATTTTTTTTACAGAATGACAAATTATTGAGGGTGGACAAGCTCAAGGACCACATTTATCAATTTCAAATCTCATATAACAAAGCAAGAAGTTATGTCAATCTCAACGAGCATTTTTGCTAAAATGCCCAGAAAAAATTAAGGTCATATTTGATATCACTTTAATTAAAAGTGGAGGTAGGTATCCACTAGCGGAGCCACGTTGAGGGCTACTCTGGGCTATAGCCCAGGTACCTTTTGGTGGAAAATAATTTTTTACATGTAATTTTTATTGATTTTCAAATATACTCCGTTATATATTTAGTCATTGATTCGAATTCTCTCAGTTTGATTATATAAAATTATATATAATACAATTTACAAACTATCTCTTTTTCTTACATTTTTTTTTTCTCTACGCTTCTTGTACATGTACAAGTTTAGATTTGTTTGAATTTTAACACATATTTGTTCAATAACGAAAATTCTTGGCTCACCTTGTGAAAATTTTCTTAAGCTAGCTGGTACTGTGAAAGATACAGTATCAAGTTTCTTTGTTTATATGTTTCAAAAAAAAAAAACAAAAAAAAAAGGGCATACGGCATACAAAAAGTTCGCGCCCCTCTTTATTTAAATCTTTAAGCTAGCTCATCCAATGAAAATTTCCTAGTTCTGCCATTGTGGGTATGAGACCATTTAGTACTACGGTCTAATGACACTCCTCTTCACTTATAAGTGAGAGGTTTTAGCTCACTTCGCTACCCCTTATTGTAAATAACATCGTTTCTTCGGTGAGTATCAAACTGACCAAACCATCCAAACCGACCAAATCAAATTGTTTTGTCGATTTAGTTTGGTTTTTGGCCATGAAAAAAAGTTACATAGTTTAAAAATCTTGACTAAACTGATTTTAGGTTTGTTTGATCCGGTTTTGATACTTTAGCAAGCGTCCAAAATCAAAACGAACCATGGATTGTCTGCTAACATGAGAGAGGGGAAAGGGGCCAAAGGGCCATCTCCGCGAGGATGCTTGTCGCAGTACGATTTTGTCCATATTGCCCTGTGCTACGCCTATATCTTCAGGTGCCGCTCGCTGGTTGAGGAGAAATTTTTTATTTTGACAAGAATATAGATGATACATCACGTGTTTTTATATAAGTAGTGGAAAAATTTATTTTTTAATACACATATTCCATCATTTATATAGTGATACGTAGTGTACCACTTCGTGTACCGGTCACATTGGAAAATCTGTCTTGGTTGAGGGTGCATTCACTTTGACACATGGTTCAACTTAGTCCCAAACTCCCCAACAGGATCCTCTTCGAATCTTTTTGGTGAGGATCCGTGAATCGTGTCCGTTCATCATAATCATGTAGTCAGTTTTTGTCAAGTACTATTTATGTTTATTTTTAAATAAAAATATTTAAAATGATTTATAACCTTACGATGTACGATAAATGGACGCGATTCACGGATCTGGCGAGGATCCGGACTCTCAGACTCCCAGTTGACTTGATGAAATTTATGTTTTTTTTTTTCTTTTGAACAAATGATATTATCTACACTAAGGAGGAGAGGGTGGGCTTAGCCTCACAATGAGCTAGCAATAATGTGGTTCAAATTCGCTTTTACTATTAGATCATAATACTAAGTGACAACGGTTGTTTGCCAAAAAAAAAAAAAAAAAAAAAAGGTGGCAACGGTTGTAATTAAGACTTAAACTTAGGCCAAGTTTTCACTTTTGGTCTTTGTGACTCCAAGTTCCGTTTCAGTTGTGTAGTTTCTTATGCCAATTTTGACTGTAATTTATCAAACATTGCAATCCAAGGACACTTACCCAGTAAAATTAGTGAATTGCCTTGGTAGTTAGAACATGTATTGTCAACCAAATATTAAAATTACCATACTTGACATTCGAATTTAATACTGTACACACGCAAACTCGACGATTATAAAGGTCTCATGACAAACGAGATGCATGCATGGAGCTATGACAAACCCACAAAACCCTCATGGCCGAAACTTGGTGACCGAAACCTGTAACAGCCCAACTCTTTTGAGGCCCTAGTGTAATTTGTCTAACTTTTTGGGTGGAAAATGACAGATTAAGAACAACCATATGTAAAGTGAAGCTGTCTGTTTGTTTGAAGCAAACCCTCAGTTGAAGTAAGGTGCCACCTCTTGACATGCAAACCCACAACCGAAGTTTCTACTATGGGATTAGCCTTGATCTCTTCAACCAAATCCTCTCTCGATCCTTTTGGTGAGGATCATAAGGATCTGTAAATCATGTCCTTTCATCATACGATCAGTTTTTGTCAAATATTGTTGTGTTTAATTTTAAATAAAAATATTTAAAATGATTTCTAACCTCACGATGTACAATGAACGGATACGATTCATAGATTCCTGGAATTCTTGGTCTCTGTCCCATTCTTTCAAACCTTTTAAGTCTTAACTTCTTTGATATTGACATTGAATCATTGAATAAGAGCGTTCGTTGTGTTGCAGCTCTTGAATCCAACTCCTTCAAATGTACATTCGAATTATTTTGTGTTGGAGAACAATTCAGAAATAAATAAAAATAACAGAACTTGAAATTTTAATACTTTATTAACCAAAAATACTTGTTATACGGAATTAAATACAAAAATAAATACAGGAATTAAAATAGTACTAACTTGATTAACCACAGGTAGAGGCTAGCGCAAAAGCTATGTCATTCGAACAATATTTTCGTCCCACTCGTGTGCTTGTGGTTCTATAACGTTTGCTCGACCAAGATACAACTACCTAATTCTACAACCCGCATTGGATTATAGAATTATAGCGAATTGTTTTGTGTGTTTACTCTTTGGAAATTTTGTGCAAAAAAAAATAAGAAAGAAAAGATGATTCTGTTTGGAAACTGTGATTGCAAATATATAGATTGGTTTACACCATTTCAAATACATGTTGAGCGTATTTGAAAACACACAACTCTTTCAAAGAGCTGTCACTTAATCAAAATTCGAAATTAAAATTAATAAATCTGATTAATTTAACTTCCAAGACCAAGGTCCTTGTCTTAATTAATTAATATTAATTGTAATAGGCTATATTTTACAAACCTAATCCACAATCATAAGGTCAAAGTTCTCAATCCATTTCTAAATGGTCCAAATCCTAACCGCGAACGTGGAAGACAAAACCTATTAAAAGGTGCTTGGGAAGCTTATGTTCCCCGATGTGGGACAAGGAGTCTCAAAACTCCAACATTTTGTTTATTGTTACTTACTGAGCTTTGTAGCTCACCCTTTTTCCCCTTTTCCCTTCACTTTCAGATCAACTTGGGTGACAAGTTTGACATATCTTGAATGTACTTGAAGAGCTTTTCAAGGCTTATATTCATTTTGAAAGACATTACATGTTTTTTTAGCTGTTTAGACAACACTGTGTACATTAGATATTTTGTTCTTTGTTCGGAATTCTGGAGCCTTTGTACTTCATGTTGAGGTTTGTTTGTAAGAAATAGTAATGAATTGTGTTTATGTTCAGTTTTGGAGATCTTTTTGCTCCTATAATAGCATCTTTAAAAGAGATGTCAATCTAATTAGCAAAAATCCTTCTAACGGAAATGTTATTAGCTGATTAAATTTGAAGTCTTTGTAATTAGAAATCAAATTTGACACAACATCAAATTTATTTTTAATTAATTTTTAATAACGGATCCCTTGTTCCACTAAAATTTCCAACTAATAAAAATTTTGTTCCACATTTTTTTTTCAATAAATACACCCATTTAAAGCTCTATATTAATAAGAAATAACATTTGACGATTCTATTAGAGGTGTACAAAATTTGATATAAGACTTCAGATCAACACATCATCCATAAATTGTAATTTGACTATTATAATTTGATATTTCTTTTAGAGATGGTCTAAGCGCCATAGGGGAGGGGGAACAACATGAAGTTAAAAACATACAACCTTGTACAAAAACATAGGGTGCCCTTAGCTTTCATTTATTTACTCTGAAAATCCAGGTCATTGTTTAGAAAGCGAAAGGAAACGCCATACTGTTGGAACTCATCCAATACCGCTTACATGAATAATAGAAGACCGGGCAGAAGATGCCGGTTGGTCATACCACTAATTCACAAGCATACAAACCAAATACCAGCGCAAGTCATAGGTTCGGTACTAAACAAGACACGAGACAGACAAATCTGCATAACTCTGCAGGTAGTGATAACGCAAACGATCTATATATAAGACCTGTTAAAGAAGCTCATCTTCTTCATCCCGCAACTTTCCTTGAATACGTTCTGCCAGGTTGAATCTCTTGAACAGGCCTGAGGTACAAGTTTCCAGACTCACCAATCCACTGGACACCTGCCTTCATGGGAGGAGGGCGCATCTGCGGCTGCCCGACAGTCTGCCTGCGATGACCAATTGTCATATTTGCCAGCTTCTCAGATGTATCTGAAACTCCACGTGCAACCCTTCCCTTGTTCACAGAGGCTGCCAACCCACATACTTTTCTCAGTTAAATAAATGTCATATGAACAAGCACCAGGGGCTTGACAAATAAAAAGTAACTAAAAGCCGAAGAAAAAGCCAACATTCACGCATTCTTGTGGTTCATAAATGTGACCAGCAAAATAGATTGATAAAAAATCCAAATCGGTGGAAGAAAGCAACACAATCAAACATCCTTCTAGCCATGGAACTTACTAGGACTGCTCTTTCCAGGAGGTCGATATTTC